CGCAGCGAGCTGATCGCTATAGATGCTGGATTGGGCGCTGTGCTTACTTTTCCTGGATCAAATGACATCTGGATTTTGAGCGATAGTAGGAGTGCAATCCAGCACCTTTCGGATTGGCATGGGGTGGGTGACAGTGATGGAGTTTCAATTTTAAACAAGCTGAAGACCCTTTCTTTCTCCCATAATATACACTTGCAATGGATCCCATCTCATGTCGATGTTGAGGGTAATGAGATTGCAGACTCCTTGGCTAAGAGCGGAACTGATCTGCCCCTGCATTCTTCGGCATCTCTGACTTTCTCGGAGCTCCACTCCCGTTTTAACAGGCTTCGTGATCCTGTGGCCCCTCCAGTTCATCATTGGTATCAGTGCAACCGCCCAGGTGGCAGCCTGACCCTTCAGTGCAGCAGGCGGGATCAGACGGTTATATCAAGATTTCGAAGCGGTCACCTAAGAACTATGTTGTTCAGTAATGGTTCAAGAGTTTTCCCTGTTTGCACTAAGTGTAACGACCAACAAGCTACTCCTGAACATATACTTCAATGCCTAAATATCTCTAAAGTGGACCTCTTTTCAGATCCACTTTTTGTTACAGACTTGCTCAGAGTCTCTGGAGTCATGGACTTGGTTTAGCTCCGCTAACCGTGTGGGCCAGCAACAATAATTTCTTTGACTAAAAATATTGAACGAGAGCTATATTGCCGTACAATTAAAAAGTCAACGCATGAGACAAGAAATTCAAATTTGAGGTTTTTATAGATTTTAAATCTTTGTATGGTATGCTACATATTGTAGAAAATATTTTTTCAAAAATAAATTTTGTTTCGTCAGTTTTTTGAAATTCTATTTTAGTGTTCATAGCGTTAGCAATCGAAGAAAAATAGTTGTCAAGCTACTTTTCTCGGAATCAATCGTGAAGAATTGCGTTTTTTTTTTTTTTTTCAATTGCACGGCAGTATAGTAGTAAATAAAGAAAATTGTTGTAAAATCTGAACGACAAGTTTGTGGAACAAGTTGCAACGGTAATCGAGCAAAATCGTCAAATTTAAATTTTATTCCAATAGAATCGGAAACAAATTAGTATTGCCAAATTGGGAATTGGGTATAATATGAAAAAAACACAACTACTTCGATTCAGTAGGAACAACATATGACGCAATGCTAAACGAATGGAATTTAGCTGTTGTTTATTTAGTTATTGTTATTAGTAGTTCTTGTTATTTGTTTTAGTTGTTGTTGTTTATTTAGTTGTATTTAGTTTCAATAACTTTTCTTTATAATGCAATAAAATCTGGCGAGCAGCTATTTAAACGATCGAACACTTCGTTTGTTTATTTGTGGCTTGAAGTTAGGCTCGCAGAAAATGCCGTTCATGGGTTAAATTTAGTAGGAACAACACAACCTGTGACGTAGGCTATATTATACCCAATTGCCTGTGGAACCAAATTAGTGTTATTACAACAAAAAGTTGCGGTATCGTACTCTTCAAGAAGAAGAACACATGTGATCTATGACGTCACCGCCAGCTGATCGAGTAAAGCAAAATTGGTGGGTTAAAGATGAACTAAATTTCTCCCCACAAGATACAATGTTAATTAAAGTGAAGTTGATTAAATACAATGCCGCATCAAATTTGCTGATATCGAATTCTTTCTCGTCTACATCTTTCACTTAACTTAACCGATATATTTTTGTTTTGTGTGCCTGTCAACTTCGATGCACAATTAGTTTGTTCATGTTCCACGTGGCGTCGTGCCTGTCTTTGTGTTAAGTAAGAAATATATAAAGAAAGAATTGAGATCTTTGTGAAAGAACATAGAACATGTCATTAAAGATAATTGAAACTCAATGGGCTTAGCTTAGAATGGAAAGAAACAGTGGCTAACGTAGACAAATGCTACATTTCAACAACCAATCAGGATCGAGATACCCACACTACGTCACTTGCAGGCATTCCATTGAAAAAATTTTGATATTGGTATAATAATCAGTTTTTCCTCAAGATGTTGTTGTTGTTGTTGTTGTTTTTAATTTACGTCGCACTAGAGCTGCACAATGGGCTATTGGCGACGGTCTGGGAAACATCCCGGAGGATGATCCGAAGACTCCTCAAGATGCAAAAATATTTTCAAAATAACCGTGGGAGATGGTGCGCAGAGAAACCAAATATAAGCACTCTATTAAGTCCTAGATTATTTCTTCAACGGTGTCTGTTTTGGAGAAAAATGAAATTGCCTTCCATTAGCTCTTTGTTATTGAAATTTTAACTCAGCTGGAGAAAATATAGCTCCTAATTTAAAATTAAATAACGAAAAAAATGCTAAATGAAAAGAAAAAGTCGAAAAAAATTTCTACTCTGAATAATTTTTGGTTCTAATGACCGGATTTTCAGACACTAATGGCTGTAAATAAAGAGGTATGCTAATGTAGCGCAAACGATAATTTAAGACTCGGTTGGATAGTTCTTGAAAAATCTAAGCTTAAAAGTGTGGCCTTTTTTAATATTTTATTACTCAGAAACTATTTGACCGATTTCGTTAAAATTTTGCATTTTGTCATTCAAAATTACAAAATTTTAAATACTGTAATGATCTACCAATCAATTAAAAAAAATTTCGACTACTAAATATATTTTCATTAAATTTAATTACATTAATAAAAACAATTAAAGATTATTGAAATATTTTTTTCAGTGGAATTCTCTTCGGATAAACGAATTTTGTAATTACGTGCAAAAATTTCTTATTCACTTTGCAACTTCCCGAGATATGAAGAAAGAAGTTTATAAGTGAAATTAACATTTAGGAACCCGAACTTTTGGCCGACCTTCTAACAGAACTATAGGCACCATATCTTCCAAATACTGCGCTGCCCTCCTCTAACCATATACTGATGGTCAAAAAATCAGATTTATCAACAAAAAAAAGCATATTTATTCAGAGAGAGTACGTTTTTTGTCTGATTTCGTAACTTAAAATATCATCAGCACTAAATAATGACCATATTTGAATTTAATGACCATATTTGACCATTATGAAGAACTTAATTCGAAAAAATGCAATATCTTATTCAGGATAAAATATTTTTACGCATTTATTTATTGCACACTGTGCGTTTAATACTGAAATATTGAAAGGGTTACCAGGATTATGCACTGTATCGATGTTTGGAATCGACACAGTTCTTAAAAAATTACGAATCCATAAAGGGATGTGAGAAATGTGCAATTTCAATGCATGACTTTAAGGAGAAAATAGCCATTCTCTTTCTCTATTTGTCGAAGTTGGGGTAAAAAAAAAAAAAATCTCTCTAATGTTTTTCTCTCGCTCTAGTGCAGGGTTTCTTAACCTGAGGTTCATGGACCCCTTAGGGGTCCATGGGTCATATTTGGCGGTTCACCGACTGCTCCTAATTTTTAAAACTTTTGGATCTATAATATTTAAATAACATTGATCTTTTTTTCTTTCTAAAAGGTGAAAATACATACATATTTGAAACTAGGTGATCGAGATACTCCAAATTCAGTACGGACTGCACACAGCCCTCTAATATCCCTGTCATATTTTTAACATCCTCCACTTTTAACATCCCCCATTTTTAACATCCTCCCGGCTTTCAGTTTTCACCATCAGGGGCAACCCCCTGATGACGTCCGCTGTACTATTTTTATTATCCCCTATCAAGCTATGTACATTTGACACCTTGTTCGGGTTACTAGATCTAGAATTTTTTACTAAGAAGAAAGCCCAGTTTTTGAAATCTGGAACATTAGACAAACTTGGATTTGCTATTCCACAAAAACCTCTGGTTCAGGCATCTCTCAAAGTTGCATATCATATTGCTAAAAGCAAGAAACCGCATTCTATTGGAGAGACGTTAATTAAGCCATGTGCGCTGGAGATGATTGAATTAGTTTGTAGATTGGAACAGAGAAAAAAAACTTGAGGCAATTCCATTTTTAAATGAAGTGACACATTCAAGAATAGTTGAAATTTCTTGCAATATCTTGAAAAAGATCATCCATGAATTGAAAGTATCGCCATTTCCCTTTAGTATGCAACTGGATATCTCGAATTACAGTCAACTTCTTGTTTTTGTTCGTTACGTGTCTCTTGATGCTATCAAAGAAGAATTTTTATTTTGTGAGTCTCTTTTGCAAACTACAAAGACAATTGATGTTTTAGCAATGTTAAATGTTTTCTTTACCAAACAAGACTTCGGCTGGAAAGAAAAACTTCATTCTTCGTACAGATGGAGCACCTGTGATGCTTGGCAATAAATCTGGTTTTGCCCTGATGGTAAAAAAAAGTCTCCTAATGCTCCTGTTACTCATTGTTTTTTGCACAAACACGCGCTGGCTGCAAAAACTCTTCCTACCAGCTTAAAAGATGCATTATCAAAAGTTATTAAAACTGTAAATTTTATTAGACGTAGAGCTCTTAATCATCGTCTCTTTAAAAAGCTGTGTCTAGAAATGGCCGGAGTAAACGAGGTACTTCTGTACCACACGGAATTGCGCTGGCTGTGACGAGGCAGGTTTTGAAACAATTTTTCATGCTGAAGATCGAATTATCACTTGTTCTAGAAGAAAAAGATAACTCATTCTTCGAATATTTAAACAAAAAAGATTTTACCTATAAATTGGCTTACCTGGCAGATAATTTTTACCACATGAACAATATAAGTCTTTTAATTCAACGACCCGATATCACCATTATGGATGCAACCGAGAAATTACAAGCATTCTAATTGAAGATGCCACTTTGAAAAAAATCAAATTCAAAATGAGATATATGCAAACTTTTAAATGTTGGACGAAGTGCTTTCTGAAAATGGATCTTGGCAAGATAATTTGTTACTGAATAACTTAAAAAATGAAATCTGTGAACAACTGGAAGTACTTCAAGTTTCATTGAAAAAATATTTTAATTTAGATGAGATAAAGAAAAAAGATGAGTTGTGGATTCATCATCCTTTTCTTTCTGATATTTACTGTATCGATGATATGAACCTTGCCAAAGATGAGCTTATTGATCTTAGAACAAAGTCCTTGCTAAAAATGGATTTCGATTCAAAAACACTCGGAGAGTTCTGGTCTTATGTGAAAGAAGCTTACCCATTGCTTGTAAAGCGAGCTATTTCAGCTATTTTCCACAGTTGTGACAATAAAAACAAAACATCGTTATCGATTGAATGTTGAACAATTGATTGAATGTTGAATGCTCGTTGCTTTGTCGAAAACCATCCCTCTATTCAATTTATTAATTAAGGAAAAGCAGCAACAACCTTCAGAGTAAAAATTTTAATTTTGAATATTTTGTATACTATTGAAAAAATAAAATTAAATGCTAAAATAAATTGAATGCTAAAAATTTATGTTTCTTGCAATTTTTTTTTCTCAGAGGGGTGGTCCGTGACTTCTTAAAAAAATTTAAAAGGGGTCCATTGCATCAAAAAGGTTAAGAAACACTGCTCTAGTGCGACGTAAATGAACTACTACTACAACTACGACATTGCAGCTTACACATTTTTATGAACATCAAATCTAGATCATAGTTATAAAGATATAATCGAAAATCATAATTTTCATACATAAAACCCTCATTAATTCTAAGTCGGAACAGGGCATCGACATTTTATTTTATTTTAATAGATTTAGCGTGAAAGTGAACATTAGAAACAATGCCTCACTTGTTTAGATTAGATAGCAATGTCAGATGCGTAAACAAGTATTAGTAAAAAATTGTACTTGAAAATTGTACTCATGAGAACTTCATAACGCTTATAAATTCTAAACTGATAACTTTATTGATTTTGTTTTGATTTCATTCAATTCAGCGTAACAATGCATTGCTCACAGAGCACAATGCCCGATTTGCTCAAATAAAAATGTCAGATGCGTTAATAGGATTAAGTACAAAATTGCACTTTATATACATAAAATCGTAAGCACTTTTGAGATTATTAGTCTTTTAGACTCTCAATTGGTATTATTTGATTCAGCTTAAAAATTGCATCTGGAATGTTATCTAAACAGCAATATTCAAATCATCATCTCCACTGTAACCTTTAGAAATGGAAAATAAAGTGTCACAATATCTTAAATTCATGTTCATATCATGTATAAACAATATGATACAAAATGCATACTTTTGTCACAAAATGCACATTTACTTCGCATCATTATACCGTACCAATCCACTATTGGCTATCGAAACGGACTTCAAGTGGCAAGTGGTGCATAGCTGAACACTTTACCCAAAGCAATGCTAGGTAGGCTTTCACCGTTAGCGAATGGGTAGTCATTATAAAAGAAGAAAGTACGTTAATTTCTGTCATGATTTTAAATTTTTAAGCTTAATTTCTAACCAATTGGTTGGCAGCTATATGGATTTCAAAACTATATTAAACCTAGTGCTTAAAGTTAGCATCGTGGAAATTTTAAAATATATTTTTGACAATCTAAATGCGAAAAATATTATGAAAGGGAACAAGATATGGAACTGGTCTTCTCCACAGATGGCGTAATCGAGCTCCGCGATCGCGAGTATTATCACTCACTACTATATGTTAGCAAGTATACAAATAGCAAGACTTTAGCTATAAAAATTTTTCTTTATATACTGAGAAAGAACAACATTATGAGTATTTAAAAATTACATACAGTTTACATTATTATAGGTTTTGATTTGCGATGGGATCAGAGCCGTTTTTATGTTTATAGGGGCCCTGGGCCTGTCATTATCTGGGGGCCCTTTATGAGTAAATTTAGAGANCTACTATATGTTAGCAAGTATACAAATAGCAAGACTTTAGCTATAAAAAATTTTCTTTATATACTGAGAAAGAACAACATTATGAGTATTTAAAAATTACATTCAGTTTACATTATTATAGGTTTTGATTTGCGATGGGATATTTATTATACCATATAGATTAGTGATAGTTGGTCAAGTAAGAACTCCCCTAGCCATTCGTCTGGACCCGTGGCGTTGACTATGGTAATAAGATATGACTATTTCAAGTAGTAGTGTGGGATCATTGCTCTTAGGGCAGGTTTTGGCTCGGATCGGAGAGAGAAAAGGAATCTTTTTCTTCGGTCTATTTTGTTAGTCATAGAGTGATGAGAAGCTACCCTTCCTGAAATGCACTATTCTCGTTTCCATAGCAGCAGACGGCCTCAGACTCTGTGGCGGGAGGATTTCTTACCGTAGACAAACTATAGCTGCCTTCGGTGACCAGGTTGTTTGCCATAATATATACCAATTTGCAAGACGAGAACTGTTGATCGATATAATTTTTTCAATATTTCCTGACAAACGAAATTTGTAGATTTTGTAGCACGTCCTTCCGGTCATGAAATTATTAATACATTGCTCAACAGGGAAACTAATGCAATTTATATTATTATTAAAAATTAAAAAAGAAAAAAAACTTTCGTAATAGTTAATTGTTAAAGAAAGGGAAAAAAATTAACAATTAAAACAAAATTTATGGGGATACAATGAAACGAACGTGTCGCAACCCAAAATAAAACTGAGAAAAGTGACCACAAATTGGAGCATACAGCGTCATCTATCAAGTGAAACTAAATTCTCTCGGCCGCCTCGGTCAATTTTTTTTTTTTTAATTGAGGCAAAAATAAAACAAGAACAACACAACACGAATGTTTTTCTTGAAATTACAAAAGCGCAAGCGCAAATAACAAAAACAGCTGTTTATATAATAATATTTATTAAAATGCAAAATATTTTTTAAATGTTTCCAATTTACGATATCAGAAATAATTACAGTTATGTATGTCGTTGACACATCTGTAGGGAGTATCGAAACTATGAAAATAACTGTAATAAATTCAACGGGGGCCTATTGGGTTGTGGATGTTCTACCTGAATTTACCATAGATAAACTAAAATTAATGGCTCTAAGTCACTTTTTTAATCCGATAGACAGCATTAAAGTATCTGATCGTTATAAATTGATCCTTGTATCCCAAAATCGACCTCTTGCTGATGAAAGCACTATCAGAGATGAAGAAGTTAGGGAGAATGGTGGGTTCTTTTAAATGTTTCACATTATAAAAATGAAGTTTATTCACTTATTCTTTTTATAAAAATTTCTATTCATAGAAAATTTTATGGCATTTAGGAAATATTCAAGGTTTTCACAACCTAAGAGTTCACTCACAATTACTGTAGTGCAGATTGAATTGCTTTTAAATGTTTTAATTTGCAAATCACATTATAAACTCGAATTATATTCACATATTTATTATTTAAAAAGTGCTAAAGAAAGATTATTTTACAAAAATTTTATGTAGAAAATATTCATGGTTTTTACGACCAAATATTCTCACTTACTATTACTGTAATGTAGATTTAATGTTTTATAATTTAACATCCTATTCACAGTTAATGAAATGTCGATAAAATGTTTAATAATACATTCCATTCAATCCTAGATTCTGTTCACTATCACTGTAGTGCTGATGACAGATTCTATTCATAATTACTGTAGTGCAAATGATCTATTCAATATAATTACTGTTAAATATTAATTACATTCTATCTCAGATTCTAGTTACAGTTAGTGCTTATGTAATGTTTAATAATATGGAATTTATTAATATCAATTAGTTAAGAAATTATTTGTAATGTTGATTAAAAATCTAATTTTATTTACAGATGAATTATTGTTATTAAGAAGGAGGCCTTTATTAGTGCCATTAGGTGAAAGTCAGGAAGAGGTAAATTAAGTTTTAGACTGAATTATTAACTGTTTTTACTAATTATTCTGCTCCTAGTATGACAAATATATTGTAATTCTTCCTAAAAATATGTTTAGATAGATACAAGTTTTTTTGCTTTTTAGGAAGATTTCTTTTTTTTTTTTGTGTGTGTGTGTGTCATCTTTAGAACTCTTGAAAAGTACTTTCTCTCAAATTTTACAAAAAATTTAAAATTTCTCTTGAAAGTCTAAAAGGAGAAACTAAAAGAAAAAACTTTATTGTTTTTTTTTTTTTCCTCCTGCAATTTCTTGATTTTAGAACTCCTTAATTTTAATACATTAGCTGTATTTTTTTTCCGGCTTATATTTGACCTAAAGTTATAACTTATGTTTTCTGAGTACTTTTCCATTTCCCCAGTGCAACTAAATTCAGCTATTTTATTTTGCAAAAAATAACAATAATAGTTACCTTAAAAATAAAAGAAATATAAGAAGAATAAGAATTTACTTGTGCTTGATAAATTTAGATCAGTAACTTTTTTCAGAATCATATCACTTTTCTTATTTTATTTATTTTGATACTTCACTTGATAATAAATAGTTTTTCTAATTAATTAATTTATGTGCCATAAAATAAAAAGATTGTGAATACTATGCATTTTTTAATGAAATTTTCAAAATTATAATCAGAAATATATATTTTTTTTCATATACGTGTTGTTTTCATGTCCAAAAACAATGGTTAATTATTGTGTAATAAGCTAACGCAAGTATTTTATATCTTAGAAATATCATTATTTAAAAATAAATTAGATGTTTACCTTCAGATTCCTATTTGGTTATAAAAATTATTTTTGTTACAAAAATACTTTAAATACATTTTATTTGTCTCCTTATAAATATTTTTCTGATATATTTTCAAGCTTTTGTTTATATAGAATATTTTTATAGTGATTGATACATGAATTGTGCAACCTAAAACCTTGAACCTAAATTTGTGCAAACATAAAAAAATCAAGAAATCTTAATAGTCAATTGCTATTTTTGTGATTAATTTTTTGTTGAAAGTTTTGGTATTATAACAAAAATGTTTTATTTTTTTTTATGTTTTTCATCATCATTTTTCATCGTGTGGTTATTATTTATGCTGAAAAAAGAAAAACAATGATAGTAAGGGTAATAATTTAAGTGAATAAAGTTCTTTTAACAGTAAAAGCATAATGAACTTGTATTACAGCATTTAGAATGGGCATTTCAGCCAATGGTTTCTTCCCTCCCCCTTTGTATTTAAGAAGGAAATAACATTTAAGTAACTGTCTAGAAAGCAATTGCACTACATTTTATTCTTAATATCTGAAAGGGATTGTAATTGCAATTTGGTTACAGTTTTTATTCATATGTTTAGAACCATTATTAATATTTTAGAAAGAAGAGAAATGTCGCGGCCCGACTGACCTAGAAATTCAGAAGGAGACGTGCCATCTTCTTTCGAAAAACAACGATGCTACCATTGAAAGTCCTCCTGTGCCTGTTGATGTTAGTATTTTGAAACAAAATCTTATTAATTATTCTTAAATATGTTATTTTGCTGAATAATATTATAAAACTGCAAAATATTATGTTCTTAAAAACTAAATATTTTATAAAATTATGTTATTAACTTCATCATTGTGCTGCCAATATTATAATTCATTGATAAAAATGACACTGAAGGAATTTTATTTTTACTTTTTAAAAAAAAAGAGAGTAGAAACTAAATGTATTATCATTATCTTATTAAACTATTTATAACTACTGATTTTTAATATCCAATTTTTCAGTAAAAGTTTTTCAACTTAAAATTTACTTATAAAACTTGACATTAGAAGTAATTTTGATTTTTGTAAATAAAAGTTAATCTGTTTCTTTTTCAAAAAAAGTTTATTTTATCTTACAATTAAAATTGAATTGCTAAATGCAATTTACGATTATGATCTTGTACATATATGCATATTTAAGGAAAATATTTTCAGATTCAATGTTCATATATGTTTAATTTGAATATTTAACAAATCTATTTAATGAAAATCTGTTTATCAAAGTTTACTTTCCTAAGTTTAAAATAATAAAAAATGTTTTGGTGGGTAATTTTGTGATTTTGGCCAATTTTCGCATGAATAAATGAATTTACAAAATTTAATAACTTATAACTCAGTTTTTAAAAAAAAAAAATCAATTCTAACAATTGACATTTGTAAATAATGGAATTGCCCTTAAGTTTGTTATTAAAAGTAATTAACATTGCATTTTTTATTATAGTTCCACACAGAGCTTAGAAAAATACTTGTCTCTCTAGTAATAGTATCTGAAAAATTACTGCGATATCATCCAGAAGTTGTTGCACTATTTAAAGAAATGGCAGAAGGTTAGTATATTTTTAATTATCTTAAAGAGAGTGAAATTTAAACAGAATTATCAATCTCTATTTTGCTATTTATTGTGTAAACTTTCTCATAGTGTGAGAAAATGAGGCAGAAGATAATGATTGAATTGTCTATAGCATAAAATAAAAAGAGAGAAATTATGATTGTGTAATATTTTGATTTGTGCCTTTTTAAAGGTTTTTTGCTTTCTTTGCAATACAATCAAGGATTTTTCTATTTCTTGCATTTTCTTGACTTGGTAATATCAAGTTTTTTTCTTCTTTTTTTTAGTGTTTTAAATATATTGCAGCATCTTTGAACAGTATATCTTTTTTTTTTCATCACTTTTTCCTGAAAATAGGGCTATATGCAGAACTGAGATTTTCCAGTTTTAAACTTTTGTTTTAAGATTTAAGAATGAGTGTATTTTCCTTTTTATCTTTGCTTTTTATTTATTTATGCGTATGTGTATATTTATATATATATATATACATATATATATATATATATATAAAATTGCTGAAAACTGAGATTTTCAATATGAAACCTTTGTTGTAAGATTTAGAACAAGTGATTTTTTCCTATCTATCTTTGCTTTTTTTTTATACATTTTTTTACTATGGCACTGAATTTTTTAAAAGTGTGTCTAATAGACTTTGCATCAAAGTTTTGATTTAAGAATGAATTTACTTATTATTATTTTTGCCTTCTTTTACCACCAGCGTTGTTGCTATCAGCATTCTTATTTAGAATGTTTCTGCTATGACGTTTAAAGCTGCCTGCTCTTCTGCATTTTGCTGAAACTTTCTGCTTTTATGGCCCATTTTGCACCTTTCTGCATTGAGATTCAAATCATCTGCATTTTGAAAATTTTCATTAAAGTTTTGTGCTTTCTTAGAACTACTTATTGCACATGCATGTGGGAAGATAGTGTGAGGCTCTATTGCCTGTATTAGATAACGTCACCTTGAAATTTATCAGTCTTTATACCATTGGTGCAGAATTTGGATGTGAAGCATCTTATAGTATATAAAAAAAGGAATAATATTTTCATTTTATTTCAGAATTATTTGAGCTGATTGTATGAATCTTTTACTCTACTATTGTAACGATGTATACCAATAACTGTTGCTGGTATTTTCATGAAATTTTTTGAAACATTTAAGGGCTCCGAGATCACCCATAAACGTAGTTGAGGATAAGTAGTTTGTCATGGGATAAATAATAACATCTTTAAACTATCTCTTTCTTATCCTTTTTTTTAAAAAAAAAATAATAATAACAAGAAGTTTAATTAAGGGTACTATTGATTCTTCGAAAGAATAAAAATCTGTAAGGTATTATGTATTTTAGGTAATATCTTATAAAATTTTGTTGTGAATCTTCTGTATTCTAAAAAATGGGTGTTGACAGATACGCATTCTTTTGTCATCACTTTGCCCTGAAAATATGGACAAATTAGTTTGTCAAGTTTAAATCTTTGTTTAAGAAATTACAAAGTTTTTTTTTTGTTTCTTTACTTTTTTTCTTTTCTTTTTTTTGCTGATACTTTTTGGTTTTTTTTTATCTTCTTCTTAATTTCAGTTATAATGTTTTTATGTTTCTTAGTTAGTTTCGGTTAATAAATAATTAGCACTCATTATTTATGAAGCTCATATTAGGCCATTTTTACCAAAGATTGAGTCGAAACATATTGTTTATTCTTTTAACTATGTGCTACTTGGGGAAATTCAGTACAAAATTTTACTATCATCATTTGTATGTTTCTTTTCTTTTTTTNAAAAAAAAAAAAAAAAAAAAAAAAAAAAAAAGAAAAAGAAAGAAAAAAAAAAACGTTTTAAGAATGATTATAAAACGTTCTTATCTGAATTAAACTTTTTAAAAGAAAATTATAAATAAATACTTTATTGCTGGGGTCACACATAGTCCTTTCAAGGACCACAGGTTGTGCATTTCTAACTTTTTCAATTAATTGAAGCTGAATATGAAAAAAATGATGACAGGCTCTCTCTATTCTCTTAAATGGATGAAAACATTTTTTGAGTTTAGTAATAATAATGAACCATTTTTCGTCTTTGTTTTCCATTACATTTTAAAGTGTCGAATATCATTATAGTAGCCTTCTTGTTTAAATTGAAATTTTTAGCAAATTTATATATTTGCTATGGTATGATTTGGTATTTATATGGAACTGTTTATAGGTGATGAAGTTAGAGAAGATGAAATTACTGTGGATAGGACTTCTTTGAAGCAGCTGATGGACATGGGTTTTGCTGAAACCCAAGCCATTGAAGCATTAAAACAGAATAGGTTTGTTTCATTCTTTTTGTTTATCTTTGATTCTTAATTGATGATCTCGCTTCACTGGCTTTGAAAATTTTTTTCTTCACTTTTCAGTTTTTTCTATGCCTTATTCGTATTATAGTAAAACAATTTATTTCTAGAATTATTTATTTATAATATAAATGATTTGTAGGAATATATCATATATATACTTTTAAAGTTATATATAAAAAAAAAAATTTCATTGCTTTTTATTACCCATATTACCTTTTGCAATCTGACCATGACTTGAATAAGTTGAGAAATGCTAATTCTTTACTTTGAATTACTATATTGTTGTACATAAATTTTTAATTCCTTGCTGAGATTAGTTTCTTTCTCACGTAGTAATGTATCGGATGCTATGGATTGGCTGTTGGCGCAATCAGTTGAAAGTACTTCGATAAGTAGTCCAGCTCCAACTAAATCTAGTTCACCTACTCATATAAAAAAATTTGCAAAATTTTCAGTTTCCAAATTAGGTAAGTTTATTACATTTCTTTCTATTGTGAAAAAAAATTTTTTTTTTAACATTAGTATCAATCAAAACTATTTAAAATTAGTTTTATTGCTTCAGCATACTTAAGAAATCACGGATAAGTTTTCTTTCTTACCATTCCTAAAATTGAAAAAAATTATTGAATTTTCATTTTTCTTTTCTTTTGATGAATAATTTTTTTTTTTACTTGCATTAATAATGAATAGTTTAATAGCATGTTTTTGCATGCAATCCTGTCATGAGTACAATAATCTTATTTTATTTCAAACTGTTATGTACGTTCTGAAACTTGCAGTTAAAATTCAAGTAGTTAAATAAAAAAGATATTAATTTTTCAAAAAATATTTTTTAATACAATGCTGAATGTTACAAAATTGACCATTACAAAAATAATAATAATAAAAAAAAACATTAACTAAAATAATAACTTAAAGCTAGCTGTTGTCTCTTATATCAAAGCATGAAAAAACCTCATTTACATTTTTGTGAGAAATATGTTAAAATTATTTTTCTAAATTTCTACACCTTAAAACTATTAATCAGTTACCAAAAATTCACTTGATAATACATGCATCAGCATACTATTTCTACGTAATAATTCAAAATATGGAGAGAAAATAAATTTATTGAGCAAACAGTTTTAAAAATGTCAAACTTCTGTTTGTTTTCTATTACTGTTATTGGAAAAAGTAGCATTTATGAAAACACTCTATGGGTATGAAATTATTCGGATTGCAAGTTGCATAACATAATTTTGTCATTCAATGGTTAAAGTTTTAAGAATCATAACATTTTACAAAATTAACAATTCTGTTTTACCAATTTTTTTTCCCAATTAAAAATTACAAAATATGTTATGTGCTTAAATATATTTGAAGATTTGTTTTTCTCAGTATAGTTCTAGTTTGTCTTAAACATTTCAGTGGAAAAAGTGGAAAAAACACTTCCAACATCAACACCTACTCCAAAGCCTGAAATCGAAATGCCAAGTACTTCTCATGGAAGTGGTTCAACCAATAGTGAACAAAGTAGGATTGTAGAAATGATTCGATGCTTTCGAGCCTATAAAAGAAAAGTTTTTAGACCTAGTGCTACTGTAAGAAACATTTGATTTTATGTGTAAATTTTTGTTCACATCAGACTCTCAGTGTAATATAGATTTTAATACCTGACTAGATTATCTTCTTTACATTTTTATATCATTAATCGTAATTTATTATTAGGTTGCAACAACTAATTAGTGTTACAGTAAATGTAATGTTATTGTAAGTTTTATGTTCTGGCATATTCTCACGTAAATATTTTTAACACTTGTGGTTTATTAACGACATTTAAACATCTTTTTTTAAGAGACTGTACTGAAAAATTTATTAAGATTTAAGAAAAAGTTAGAACGACATTTGTGGTCATGCAAGTTTTTTTTTTTACTTAAAGAAGAATTTCTATACAGCATTTATTATTTATTTCAGATGTGTCTTTAACTCTTTTGTCAAACATCTTAACTTTGGACCAATTATCTTTTTCTAAACCTTTACTTAAAATTATGAATTCATGGATAAAAAGTTTAGAATAAAAATATACAGGGACCACAGACCTTCTATTTTTTCTGCTTTTCCTATTATTTCTGCACCCCTCCTTTTTTCTGTTATTTCCTATTTTTTCTTATTTTTTACAAAACCATCTGTCATTTCTGCTATTTCCCCTTTGAATGTAGTGACAGCCAAGGAGATGGAATAATGACTTCTAGCGTCAAGTATTGCAATTGCACTTGTTTTTCAATTCGTTTGTTATGAATGGGGCAGAAGGTAGTAGAGCGTGAATTCTTTTTAGTATGCCAGCTTCTGCTTCATGTTCAACTGGAGTGGAGGAAAAATTAAATCATAAAGAGATTGTGATACACGTTTTCTTTCTGATTTTGATTAATGTTATAAGCAAAATGTTGAAACTCTAGATAGCATTAATCCTGTGCCAGAATTACAGCGACATTGTCGCAGAACATTACACAGTTCTTGCAGAAAGATGGAAAGTAAAATTTTAGTTAAAAGTAAAAAAATATATATATATTTATAGTAGCTACTGAAGTGGAAAAAATCAGATGAAAATTGAGGCGTGTTTATTCTTCTAATAAATATGAAAAAAGTCTTAATTGCAATTGATGTTGAATAAATTGCAAATTTAAAGTAATAATATTTGTGGACCCATGAATGCGATCTGGTAGTTGAGAAGCAAATCATTTAGATGATTGCTATCAAGTCCAGATTTCTTAGAAGCATATATTTTATTCATTATTCTTAGAACATATCCGATGAAACACAAAATAACTTTTTTAAAATTTAAAAAAAATTTATATCTTGTCCTTATATAATTTGATTTCTTAATTGATTGGATATATTAATTTTATTTGCAAAAGGAATATACATTAAGGTGTATTAGATTTGTAGTTTCTTCTATAATAATCTCACTTTTCGTTGTAAGACTGTGAAGGAAAGTTTATTTCGTATATTATTTTCTGTTTTTTTTTTTTTTTTTTTTCAATAATGATTAAGTGAATTTTATTTTAATTATATGAATAAACTTTTAGCTGATGTGAAACTATAATATTACTGCAATATAGTTCTCTCAGTAGAGCTATTATAATATCAATATTTTTGCTTATTTCTTTATTCTATCTGGCTAATTTTTAGTCAATTTATTAATGTTGATTTATAGGCACTATCGAATTTGAAAGAAATGGGCTTTGCAGAAGCAGATATATTAGATGCCTTAAGAATAAATGGAAATAATCAAGATACTGCTGTAAGAACTCATTCATTATTTAAATTATTAAGAATTACCATATTATTTTTACTTAAACGTTAGAAATTGTCATTTTACGGTAAAGAATTAGAATATCAAAATAATTTCAGTGTGACTGGCTTTTGAGTGATAAAAAGCCAAATTTTGAAGATGTTGAAGAGGGATTAGATCCTGATGGCCCAATCTATAAGTCCATAATGTCTAATCCTGTAGTGCAGCTGGGCTTAAGTAATCCTAAGACATTCCTAGGTGAGTTGCAAATGGTTATATGATTAAGAATAAATTTTAACTGCAATAAAATGCTCTATACTCTTTTATTTTCAAATGTTAATTGCGTATTACTTGAATAAATTACTGTGGAAATTGCATTATGAAACAGCAAAAAAAGTTCTACTTTGTCAAAATATAATTTGGAAAATTCATTTTAAATTTCTTATTACTGATACTTTTTAAAATAGCCATCTCACTACCTCAAAGGTTAGTAAAATTAAAAGTACTTCAAAGTCTTTTTAAGACCTTTAGAGTCTATAAAAAATTTTATCCAAATCTTTAAAAATTTTAATCTTTAAAAAATTAATTTAATTCTTTGCAACTGATTTTAAATTAACCCAAATTTTAACAAACCATGGAAATTTTAAGAGATATTTATTTGGTTACCATCTGGTGACCAGTGGACTTTGTGTTTGTGGCGATACTGATGAAGATGCTGAGCACATTCTTCTTCTTTGCAAACTGTATGCGAGTGTCCGAATTAAATTAAAGACTGATTTGAGGCGGCTTTCTATTTATTGGCCTCCTGTTTTTTCAGAACTGGTCAAAAGTATCGAAAGTCTTGCTGCCTTGCACAATTTTGTTTGTAATGTAAATTTTTAAATTTTCTTGTTTGTTTTCTACTTACTTCTGTAAGCCTCATGCTATACTTTGCAGTGCATGAGGAGTTTTCAATCGTTTAAATAAAGAAATAAATTTTTAAAAAAATCTTTAAAAAAATTTTAATCATAAGAATATTAGAAACTGTTCTTCATTTTTTCTGATCACTGCTTGATCATATGTTTATGCAATCTAATTTTATCGCATTGTTTATTATAGTGAATTATAAAAACATCTTTTAGAGGCATAGCACCTGGTTTGTTACTGTTTTGTATATTAAAAAAGTATTTTGTGCGGATTTTAATTTTCCATAATGATACATTGCCACATTAAAGAAAAGGGGAAAAAATGTGTCAAACCTAATTTTAGAATCTCTATGTAAATTAAGTGACTAATTACCTTGATGCTTACATATGCCTAACTTTATTTAAACCCATTTATTCAAAGCTTAGCATGTTAACTAATTTTAAGTATTCTAGTTCTGTTTCAGTTTTTAACCGATCTTTCGTACCTGCTTTTTTACTCATTGTAAATTATTTTTATCTGTTAAAAGAGTTAGAAAAAATTAACTGCAATTTAGGAATTCCTAAACTCAAATTTTGTCATGATAAAAATACTTGCAACTTTAAATTTATTCCTTAATCTCTTAAATTGCTTTTTTTTTAAATTTTGCTTAAATTCCCTTATCATAGAATGATTCTTTTTATTATTTATTTATTTGCAAGAAACAAATCATTATAAAGATGATATTTTTTTCCCAGCCCTCCTTCATATGCTAGAGAACCCTACAAGTGCTTGTCGCTGGCTGAGCGATCCAGATACGGCTCCCATACTTAGTCAAATTTTCCGTATTTATCATGCAGAGAAACATTCATTACAGTTAGCCAGGCCATTCCCACAGTAACATCAATCTGTGTACTTCAAAAGTGTAAATAGCTTTCATGTAAAAGTACAAGCTGACTTTTTACTATAGTAAGAGACTGAATAAAATGTATATTTAAGAAATTCTATTTATTGTATAGATGAAAGTTTTGAAAAGAATCAAGTAATGTTAGTACATGTATAAAGCTCTCTAATTTAGGAAGAAAAAAATTTGCTATTTATTTCTTTTTCATTGTGTATATTAAGGTTTGTACTTAAATTAACTCTAAAGTTATTCTATAGTTTTTTAATGAAAATGTAGATCAGTAATACCATACCTTCTTAAAATTTCATTTCCTGATTGAAGACAAATTTTAATGTAACATAGTATATTTAACTGTATATAGTCATTTTTTTTTTATATAACTGAAACATTATGCATTGAATATTGGCATTTTATCAACACACTTCTTTAACATTTATAAAAACACTTTTTAATCTGTTGCGTAGTAAAGGTACGTTCTGAGTTAAAAGGTAATTACGACAGCTATTCTTTAAGTTAGAGCTTCTAAATTCCATTTTATATTTTCTAATGAATAATGCCAAAAAGTATATTCAAATAGACCCAGAACGAGACGTTTTATCGTAATTCGATGAGTCGGAGAGCTCTGCTAGTTTGTGGTTGAGTCATTAAAGGATGATAAGCCTGTTTCTATCTAAATTGAATGCAACTTTTGACTATAATCATTACAAAATATTTAAAATTAAATTAAAATTATGTTGATTGAGACAACAAAAAAAAGTACAAGTTAGAATGTGCACTAACAGTCCACCCATAATGGGTTGGTATGCAATGACATTTTTGACCTATGGGTTAGTATGCTATTCTCAATCCTTTAGATGTGCCACCCCTTACAGTTATGGCCATTAGTTTTAATTTGTTACTAATTAAATAAGGTTTGAAATGTACTAACTAGTATATTTCAGGGAAACATCAGGAAATTATAAACAAAACATAGCTTTTAATGAAAAACTACTTTAGTTAGTTAAAAGGTAGAAAATAAATTTTAATAAATCAACAAAATAATGCACCATAACTGTTTTACACCATGTTTTTTGACCTTGAAGACTGGAGTATTTTCAAATTGTTACACTACATGTTTTTTTACTAACCTCTCTCATCATACTTATACCAATTGTTACCTTGTTTTTCATGTACCCTTTCAAATTATTTATAATATTTACTCTTTTTTATAATTGCAAAATACTTTTCCTTCCATTGTAATACTTATCCCACTATTATACTGTTTATTGTTGTTGTAAATATGTGTTGAATGATCTTGGATCTCAGTGGAATCCTAATTTTAATTACGAAAAGTATTAAATAAAATCTTAATAAAATTAGAAACTACAAAATGACTGAAGAGATTAAATGTGTTCTTTTTTATCTCATATTTTTCAAAATTATGATTAGTTAACCTTCTAGACGTGGAATTCTGTCTTCCGCTATAGATCATTCCTATCCCATCAGATTTTCTCTTCTATTTTTCTTTAAAGACTGTTGTACAGTATAGGTGTGTGTGGGGGGGGGGCATTCTTGAAAATCAGCCCATCAGCAGAAGGCCCATACGTGTAAATAAGCTTTCTATCTTTTTAGCTTAAAATGGAAAAACTGATAACTTTAAAAAAATTAAAATATTTGTCCTCAAGGCTTATTGGTATTAAAATTTTATAAAGGATGTTGTTGTAATTAGGAAAGGTTTCATTATATTTCAGTGTTCTATGTCACCAATGTAAATGAAAGTTAATTTTTTGTTTACAATGTGTCGAATAAAATTTATTTATTTGAGCAGTCATTGAGATTTAGAGCAAATAAAAATCATCTGACAAAGTTTGTTGTTCAATTAGCTCAAAAAATTTAAATAAATAAAATTAAAGATATGAAGATCAAATCAATGTGCCGTTTTCTTTGCCACGTGTTTCATTAATTTTATGTGCTGGTTGATGAGTTGTTCATGTCTTGCTTCTGCAACATATTTTAGCTTACTCCATTGAAAACACTCCAATACAGGTTGTTTTTCAGATACTTTTTATTTCAGGGTCGCCACTCCACAGGGAGAAAGAGGAAAATACAGGGAATTTAAAAATCAGCTGAAATAACAGGGAATTTTGAGTTTTTCTTTAGAAACTGGGAAAATACAGGGAATTTTGTTTCTTATTTTCATTTTTTAAAAAATGGTAGCACCAGTCAAAGTGCAATTTATGGAATATATAAGGATGATATTTCAGCCATACTAAACTAGTTCACTTACTATAGCATCATTTGTTTTAAGTATGTTCATCTGTTCCTTCTTTTCTTCAAATTTTTCAGCAATTATAACTAGTATGGTTAGCCCAATATAGCCATACAAGAGTTTCAGTGATTGTGTTTTTCCTCTTAATATATTATGTATAGTATATACAGGAAAAATACAGAATTTTTTTTCTCCAGATTTGAGTGGCAACTCTGTATTTGCATACTCCTCATGGAGTTTGCTTTTTTTTAGGTTAACACAGTCCCATCATATCCCCAGTTACCTTTCACTTTTTTTTCTCCTTTTGTCATAGTTTGATTTTGTTACTTTAAATTTCTAGTATCATTAATGTTTGACACAGTATACTCATTTTCAGTTTTTATATTCTTTTCTACATTCTTAAAGAAGTATCAGATTTTTAGGTTTTGAAATTAAAACTTGGAATGCATTAATTATTCTGACTCTTCAGTATCCAGCCACCTAAGCCAATTACCTAACTAGGTTGAATTGCTAGATATTTTGTATAATTTTCCTAAAATAATAAATTAAAAAACTTTAACATAATGTTTTTCATAAATATATAAAAAAAAAAAATATTTTAGTACTGTTTTAAAAGAAGACAATTTATTCAATATAACTAAATAAAAACAAATAAATTAAGGTGCGAATGATTATCGGCTGCATATTTTCTTTTAAATAATTTTACTACTTTACTTTTACTATTTTGATGGGGGGAAAATTTTATAAATTTAATGAGCTACTAATTTTTTTTTATTATATTTTTATTTTCTGACTGGTATTATTAAATAATATTTTTTCTTTAAGTATCTGGCAGTCCTTAAGTATAACAAAGCTTTAAAAAAAAAAAGTATGGAATACAATAAATTAAGTTTCAAATTTCTATATTTTGCTGTATGTATACTATTTCATCACATCAAGATTATTTAAATTCATTGACTTTATTCATACAACCATGATATTTATATACATATATATATATTAATCTAATTGTAATGCATTGGCTAATATCCCAGTCAAATATTCCTTTATCAGTATGGTAAGATCGCAATCTTTAATTTAAATACTCTGAAGAGCTATTTTTGATGTTCTTGTAATGCTTTTTGATCTGTTATTTGGTATTGGACTCTCTAATTGAAGGAAGAAAAAAAATTTCTGGATATGAATGAACCCTAATTTATTTCCTCATCGTTTATATCTGTCTATGACAGAGATGGCAGATGGCTACCAATCGACATGCAACATGTTTTTTGGTGGTATACAGGAATAATTTTAAATTATATTCAATCACACTCACAGAAGACAATTAAAAATCAGTTCAGTGGATTCAGAAACAAGTACGATTTTGAGTGCCATTTTGAAATTTTATAGAATGCAAGGGCCCTTCTACTTTGGAAATTCTTGTTGTAAGAAAGACAAGTCCTTTTTTTTCAGGGTGTGGGGGAGTATAGGAATAAATAAAGAGATAACAGAATTAAATTTCAAATTTTGAAATTTTTTTTGAGTACAATGTTGTAATCAGGTGTTTTCATTAATGAATTCTTTGTAATTGATTGTAAGAAATTGTCTTATTTTAAATTTAAAGCAAATTAATAACTTAACAGCAAATTAAATGACATCCTTTACTGTTGTGTAATCCTTCTTTCTAAAGAAGACTCGTGTTTGATTTTTGCTTGATTTTTGCGTGCAATTTAATACATCAATATTAAATAATTTTTGAAATGCGGAAGTTGAATGCTTTTTGAGAAATTTGTAAATAAATAAATAAAAAATTAATTTAGTAATCTTATTTGCAAAAATGAAACTTAGATCTCAAGTTCTTTCTTTGATGTTTCATTTCTTTTTTAATTTATCTAACAATTTTCATTTATTAGAGTTATTTAGTATTTACTTTAATTTTATTTTCATTTTTTTTTTCCTTAGATGAAAATTTAATTACGTTGCAAGATGTCTTTGAGGGTATTGATGTGATTTTGATATTCTGTTTAATTTTACTATTCTAATTTAGAGTTCAGATGTTATCCTGTTACAATTTGCAAAAAGTATTAAAATTGTGGAGTTTTGGGGTTATCATTGTTTAGTGTAAACCAATATAAAGCCACTTAATTATTACTTTTTTTATACACTTAATCATTGTTAGAGTACAAATTTTGCTTTCAAAGAATTGTATGTCATAGTAAAATTGTGAAAATTTTATTAATTGTTCATTGGCCTCTTTTACATCTTAACCAGAGGCTGTGCATCCCTGCTAATTTAGCTACAGATGGATCTTAATAAAAAATAATAACAAATATTAAAATTTGTTTAATCAGTAGTGCAAATTTTATTTCATCATTCAGCTCAAATTTATAAAGAATTTTACATAACTTTTTTGTCATAGTATATCTGCAATTTCTTTTATTTCAATCTTCTTTTTTTTTTTTAAATTTATTTATTCATTTTTAAACAGTTTCGATTTTTGTATTTTTAAAAAAAATAAAATTGCAGAAAGTTTTTTGTTTAGTGTAATGTTTAATATTCCAACAAAGGGCATAAATGTCTAAATTTATCGATCAAACTATTAATCACTAAAAACCTTATTTTTAAACTTTGACATTCTTAAGTATAGTGTTGCATATTTTATGTAAATTGAACTGAAATATCACTTATATGCGTTTTATAATGTTGAAGCATCTCTTAGTTGTTTGCAAATGGTATTTATAGCAACATTTTATCAAAGTTCAATGAAAAAAGTCATTTGCCAAAAATGAAGAAAAAATAAAACTGTGAGATATCTGATAAGTGCCAGAAGTGTCTATTGCAAAAGAATCATGTCAGCAGTAAAAAAAAAAATTGCCAAATAGAATTATTGGCATGCAAAGCATTGTGTAGCAAAATATCATGAAACAAAATTATAGTGGTACAGTAGACCTAGATTAACCAGATTATCATTCGGATTGTATTGAGACATTATTTCTTAATCTCTTTCTGCCATACATATATGCCCTCTATAATCATGTAACTTTTTCTATTATAATCTCTATTAACTTTTATGCCCTACTATTTAACTTTTTCTTAGAACTTCTTCGTTCCTTTTTTGGATAAACCGACACTGAATTAAACAAATTCAGCTTCTAAGATTGAATCGTTAACTGATTTAGTTTTTTTCTCCCCCGAGTCGATTTTGTTTATTTATAATCCATTTGACACTTTTTTAGGCTTTCTCTCAATTCCATCCGCACTATGATTATATTTGTCTTTCTCGGTTCTAACTATGGAGTTAGAGGAAACAAAAGAATTGACAATTCTTAGATTTGTTTAGCAAAAGGAAACAAAATGTCGTTTGTTACTGGCATAAAAAATCATTTCTTTGCAATCATGCCATGCAAAGTGTGATTTTTATTCTGTAGGCCTTGTGTATTCCTTCATATAATTGAATTCGAAAAAGAATAAAATTGGATGTAAATGTAAAGAAGAAAAAAATTGGAATTGAGCTTGATCAACAAAGATATGAAGCTATTCAAGGTTCTGCTGTACTTAAAAATTGCATTGAGTTATATAAATTGCATAGAGAGGAAAGTTGGAAATTGTTTCAAAATGTTTAGGTCTGAAATAAATATTTAAAGTTTGCCTGTTCCCCCAGTGTGTTTTAGGCATCATCTTTAGTTTTTTTAGGAAGAAAAACCTAAAAATTACTATCTAGAGAGACAACTGAGGTATCGTTTCTTATATATTTTGTTTGATGAATCAAGACCTAAAAAGAGTTTATCTAATAGTTCATAAGTTGTAAAGATTTTTTGGCTTATTAGACTTTACACGTAACCCTTTCATCTTCGAAATTATTAGTTCTATCAACTTATATCAGCTCTTATTTGATTTCGTTTAAAGCAATTAGCAATTTAATTGTCTAGATTGAAATGTCAGACTCATAAATATGTATCAGGTAAAAATTGTGCATTATTCATTAAGCCCAAATAACTTTTAAACTATTAGTAAAATAAAAATTATTTTGGTTTTTAATTCAACAATGTACTCTGAGAACAATACCTCACCTTTCTAGATAGCATTGTTTAAGTTTCTACTCCTTAGTAATCTCAAGAGGGTAACTAAAGCCTACATCTTGAGATGGACTAAGTTCAGATATTCCTATTGGGACTAGGCTACAACTTTTAAAACAATGTCTAGCTTTATTCTAATTATTTGAATGTTTAACTACTTAAGAACTAGCCTGAATCAAAAATTAATTGTCTTTAAATCTATAGACTAATGTTGCTAATTACATAAAGGCATTTTTCTCTCTTCTTTTTACAATAATGTTGCTACTTTGCAATTATGATAACTGCTTCTGTTATAAATATAGCAATAAACAACGTTTTTAAAAGACAATTTTGAAGTTTGTGTTTATACTTATTTATTTCTTCTTATATGTATACTTTTCTAATTTATTTCTGATAGTTTATTTAATTTTCTAGTCTGTTTGCAATTTTGTGTTTTTTTGAAATTGCGGAATCAAACATGGCGTGTACATGGCCTTTATATCTTCATCTTCAACTTATATATTTATTCTATAAAAGTGTAAATTTGCCTTGTTCTGGTTTGTAAGCATTAGAATGATGTGATATTTATTGTTAGTTCATAAATAACGTTTGTGATGTTTCTGTATATGTATTTGAGTTCCAAGTTTATGTAAAAACAAGAAATAATAAAATTTCTTCTCTTAAACCTACTTGTCAGTTTTAATACGTGGGAAGAAGGTGTTTACTAAAAAAAATTCTTGAAAATTTTTTAAGGTCAATGAGAAACTTTTATTTTCGAATAATGCAGTTCTTGAATCTTAGATTCTGCTTTATAAAGAAAAAAAATTATAATCCTTCAAAATGTTTATTCTTTGTTTTATGAGGGGGGGGGGAGAGTTCGTCATGTGCTCATGGAGTTTGGCTCTTAATATCAGTTTTATTCTAAAACCAATTTTTAGTTAACAATCATACAATTAAAAAAATTAGTATAAATAATTCTTTTTTTTTTAAATAAAAATGAGCATGTTGTTAACTAAAAGATGATTTTTATTATAATCGAAGAAAAATTATTTAGCCTAATTTTTGTTATTCCTCTATATTTTTGAACAGAATTGATTTTATAATTTTTGCGTGACTACATTTTGTCAAATGTATAAAATCAGAAGATTTTCTTTAAAAACTGTGATTTTTTATAGTTTTCTTGTCTTACATTTGATTTGTGGAAAATGAAAGCGCATCTTAACTTTTAAATTGCTTATTATATTTAATGACGTATTTGAATCGCATAATAGCTCACAACTATTAAAAAATTTGGTGATTTTAATTGCGTACTGAGTACCGTCGTATGATTTCTATTTTTTCTCAGAGGGGGCGGGGGAGTAAAGTGAACTTAAAGTTTTTATTTGCTGCTACAATTTTAACAAAAAATCTTAATTGATTTGAATTGTACTTCCACTATATTTTTTTTTAAAAATAAAAAAAAGGAAATTGCCAATGATTATTTTATTTAGGCTCTGCATACAAATGAATAATTTACATAGAATATGAAATATTTCTTACAAAAATGCTAAGCTCTATCATAATCAGTATAATCATCATTGTTATAATCATTGTAAAACAAGTTTGGACGACGATTACGATTATTCAACTTCCTGTATTGTCCTTGACCATAGTAATCATATCCATCGTTATTATTTCTGTATCCACCTAATCCAAGACGGGGTTTTAAGTAACCGTTTTGCCTTCGTCTTTGTCCTTGCATCTGATTGTGTCCCATTAGCCCTATGTTCCTTTGCCCGTATATACCAGGTCTTGCCAATCTTTGATTCATGTTTCTTGGATAATAATCTCCTCTGTTCATACCATTTATGTCTCTTCCATAATGACCTCCATTATATCTGCTGTTTGGATTTCCACCTCCATAATAGCCTCCCGTATTTCTATTACTTGGTACATTTCTGTTTATGTTGACTTGGTTACCAACAGGATAACCGACAATGTCACCTTGTCTGTATGTGTCTTCGTACGGATAAGACAAAATGGTGGTGCAAAAGGTTGACAACCAAAGTATCAGCGTCTGAAAAAGAGTTAAACATTAATAAGTTTAACCTTATTAATGATGAAACTTTAAATTTTCCTTTCATTCTATAGGAACATGTGCAGCAGAATTTAGAACATGTACCAGGATCAACCTTTGCACTAGGAAACACTCTTAACAGTTAGGTTAAGGCAGGGTTTCTTAACCTGTGGTTCATGAACCCCTAAGGGGTCCATGAGTTATATTTTGGGGGTCCACTGACTGCTCCTAATTTTTAAAACGTTTGGAAGCCTGCCCATTGCTTGTAAAGCGAGTTATGGCAGCTATAATTCCGTTTGCTACAGTGTATATTTGCGAAGCGGAATTTTCCTCAATTGTGACAATAAAAACATAACATCGAAATCGATTGANGGGGGGGTGGGGGGTCCGTGACTTCTTAAAAATTTTTTTAAAGGGGTCCATTATATCAAAAAGGTTAAGGAACACTGGGTTAAGGGATAAAGGCTTCCGTCGCGATTGAAGCGCTTATTGAGAAATAATCTATTATTATTACTTTTTGGATTGTTTACTTTTATAAATATACGATAAAATGTTAAATTAGTATCTTGAATTGAAAGTAAACTTCAAACTATAGTTACTGTGAAAAAATTATGAGGGGAAAGTTGGAAAAAAACCGGTTCCTTGAGTTTTGGCTTTTTTTTCTTCCTAATCACCAACTGAATAAAAAGACTTAACTTTTTATTAAATGATAACTTAACTGTTAAGTCCCAATATTTAATGTGAAAACACTTTATCTTGGTGTGTAAATTATTTTTTCGAGGTATGCTAATACGGGGTCAGTAAAAACCGTTTGTACGTGGAAATAATTAAGAGGGGGAAATGCTTCTTTTCTACTTGAATGTTTATTTTTGGCATTAAATTAATAAAATGACCTATTATCACAAACATGCAGGTATTTAAAAAAAATCAAGGATCATAACTAAGTTTGAATCTGAATACGCATATATTTCTCTTATAAGGCCACAAAGAAAGTTCTCCTTTTTTCTTGTTGGCAACAAAAATTGAAATATCAAGCGGGTCAGCAGCCATAAGCATGAAAGCGTAAACATATTTGTTTTAAATTTCTGGCTTAAATTTATCTTCTCTCGTGGACAGCTGAAACAAACAAACAGATAAAAAGCTGAAACAAACTGAGCTATGAAGTTGAGAAGAATTGAAAGATTAAAAGCCAGTAGTTCATATGAACATACTAAGTTTCATTGAGAGCTTTAAGTCTTGAAATTCATAATAATGTTTTTAAAGGAGTCTTTTTTCTTTAATTGTATTAGTTTCTGAAAAGAAACATTAATGTATAGTTTCTGCAAACTGTTACTTATTGCATTTCATTTATTTTAATTTAAAATTTATTTCAGTAACTTATTGACTAAAAATTTAAATTTTCTAAAGAGGAATTAGTTTTAAAGATTTTATTTATTGATTTAAATTCTTAATATTTTAAGCTAGAACCCATTTCAAATGGATGTAACTTAAAAGCAAGAGCAGCAATCTTATGCTTTGCAATCTTCAGTGGTTGGAGAATCGTCTTCGATCAACGGGCAGAAACTACTGGTTTAATATGTTTGTAACTATTTATAAATAAGTTAGTTGATCATATTGCAGAACAGAAATCGCAAACAAAACTGTGAGAGCAGTAATGGCTCAGGGGACAGAGCGTGAGGGGACAGTCGATACAAATTCCGCATTCGGCTTGCACCGACCACAGTGTTAACATAAAATATCCCCAGTGGTAGACGGATCATGAGTTAGGCCATTGCCGCTAACGATGAGAGGTTTTCCTCTCCATGTAAAGTAAATTCGGGTTTCCTCCAAAAAGTCCGCTGCGAAGACAAATTTCTCCCAAAACTTGACTCAGAAGTTCCCTTGTCTTCTGGATTGGGTTCAAAATTACTACACTACGGCGTTGAACATAAGTAGTCGTTTACCCAAAAATTGGGTCGGTAGTTCAAAGACGGTTATAAAATAAAATAACCAAAAGTTGTTAATTCTCATAAATGTCAAAATGTTTGTTTAGTGATTGGAAAATAACACCAAAAGGTTTAAATTTCAATACCACAAAAAAAAGCACATAACATTCTATTTTAAGGTTCAGGTTTCGTTTGTACACTTTTGAATCGTTATTGGATATCATAGTCAAAACCATTTTATATTTCATTGATATTAATCAGTAAATTAATTTTCTAACAGTAGAATCAAAAATGACTACAAAGCAATCCTTGGGGTTCTGCGAGCAGCAGGGAGCGAAACCCCATAGTTTAAATGTAATACAATAAGTATTATTTTCCCTTATTCCATTATACAACACACAGAGCCATGGTGGTTAAGGAGCCTTCCTATGAGGTGAAACGGGTTTGATACGAATTCCGCACCGGCCAAAGTGCTGACGTAAAATATCCTCAGTGGTAGACGAACCATGGGTTAGAGTCCTCTTGCCGTCAGTTTAACCATGGGAGGTTTTCGTGGTTTTCTTCATGTAAAGCAAATGCATGTTAATTCCATCAAAATGTCCTCCACGAAGGCAAATTTCTTCCAATACTTGATTCAGGAGTTCCCTTGTCTTCTAGATTGGGTTCAAAATTACAAAGCTACGAATTTGAACATTAGTGGTCGTTTACGCAAAATCAGGTTGGCTGTTCAACAACGGTTATAAAAATAAAACTTCGATCGTACTTTCAGTAATTGCTGCAAGCTTCGTGCGCCAATCTTTTATAGTTGACCCATTGAATTCTTACTTTACTGAGATTTTGACAGCATTCTTTACTTCAGACTTAACTTGACTCTTAAGCTCCAAACTTTTTTTTTTCTTTTTTTTTTGTACGAACAGATTTCATACGACAACGCTATTTGGAACTAGGAACCATATTTCCAACTTGGTGCAAAACCCATTTTAATAGTTTATAATAAAAGCTGAAAGAGCTTGATGTATAATTTGTATAAATAAATCTTTATGTATTCAGAAACCATTGAGTAATTTCGATGGGGAAAATTTTTTTCTAAATATTGGCACTGACAGCAAAAAGCATATATTGACTTTCTATCCTTTCTAAATAACACGGCGACTGTTTACGATTAGTTTAATGTGATTTCGATGCGTGAGAGCTGTGAAAAGTGCTTGGTTCCAGTTTTATCCAACTCTCTAATTATGCCCAATTCTTTTTAACTAAACTTAAAAATCCGAGTATCTCAAGAGAGCACTTGACAGCAGTTATTTTCATGTTTAAACATTTACTATTAATGTGATAAACATGGCCAGGAAAGAATAACAAAACTTGTTTTACCAATATATTCTTTTATATTTAATGTGGGCACATAGGTTATTTACTCTTAAAATTATAAGCAAATGCAATATATTGGTGGTTTTATCTTCATTTTAAGTGCTGCAACATTAATGTACGCAAGTAATATAGAATTCATCAAAAATATTTACTGATATTAAAATTGCACTTACGTAGATACAATATTTCAAACATTTAATTTATGTTTTAAAGGGATAGTGATTATAATAAAAACTTTTACAAATTTACTTATATCTTTATTGGTAATTACATTTTTAAGATGGGTATCAACATTTTTTTTAAATATATTTTATCTTTATTTTGGAATAGCGAATGTGTAAAATATTCTTTTTTCAGTTTCATATTTCGCGCTTTATTTGCTGACGATTTTTTTATGTATCGTTTTCATAGTTTCAACATTAAAAAAGATGCAGCAAAACCATTTCATAGGTTCTAGGCTAATAAAAGGAAGTTTCTACGCACATGCGTCCCTCTCCTGAATAACTCCTGAACTGTTTGTGGTTCTGAAATTTGAACAGCGGGTGAAGAGTTGGGGGAGTTTTAAACTCTCAATCTCAAAAATCGCTTAAAATTTAGATCGTTTGGGTGAGACTATTGAAAAAAAAAAAATTTTCTTCATTCTTTTAGCATTAGCCATTTTTTAAATAAAACAATAGACGATTCTGCTTCATTTTTTTTTAAATATTAAGATAAATTTAATGAAGTTTGCCAACTTATAGGCTTATTTAATTTTTAAAAGAAAATTTCATTTCTTTAATGTTTAATAATTGGCTACGTCAGGCCAACATATATAGCATGTGAGGGTCTCGTCACAAAATTAGAATTGCCATAGTTATCTGATACGACGTGCTTACTTTTTTAATAGTTACGTTTTCGAAACGTGTTTTAATGAAATTAAATTATTTGAAAACAATGATTATTGGCTTAGTAAAAATAAGTTGTTAAAAAGTATTAATTTCACAGAAAATATGCAATAAATTTTCAGACAAGCAAATATAGACAATTTCTGACCTTATTATTACCGAAGCACCATTTTAAAGTTCGTTCTTTGCGTACCCTAACATTCATTCATAACAATATATTAACTCCTTATTCACCGCAATATAAAATCTTTTCTTAAAACTTTAGTTAGAAATATAAAATAGCAAAGATGAATGTTTTCATCTTCTTCTCACTGAAACATTATCTGTGGAATCCATTTCATTACATCAAATCAGAAAATATTTTTCGAATTTACCATTCCTCCGTGTATTTTTTAATAAGTAAATAAAATTTTTTAATTAAAATTAAATTAAATAATACCTAATAAGTGAATCACCATAAGCTGTTTTCTTATATGAATATGTTAGTGTAAGATAGTTTTTAAAATTGATTGAGCTTATCTACTACTTTTGAATTTTGATAAATTTGTCATTTCTCACTAAAGCATTCTTGTCTTAATGTATTAAAAAATTACAATTCACTCTTCTTTGGTTTTCATGAATAACATAAAATGATTATTTTACGTTATTCATGAAATCCACAGAAGACTGAATCATTTTACACAAAATGACTTTTTTAATTATTTTACCGTAAATATTAGCAAAAATTATTTTTTATTATAATGATCCAAATTTCTTTTAATAATAAAGCATAAATATTGAAAATAATATCTAGAAGTATTTTTGAAAAAAAAATTATGTAAGTAAAATGATCAAAATTTCTCAAAAAGTAATAATAATGATAATCAGCGTAGGAAGAGCAGCAAAAATGTGTAGTAAAGTAAAAACTTTCACTTTATTTCTAACATATCTAATTTTTTAAATCAGACCTGCCGGCTTTTTTTGGCTTTCTGCTGGAGATTTTTCCTAAATATTTAAAATTGTAGCAAATTTTTTTATTTTACATTTAATTAAAATGGTATTGATGCCTACGTCATTTAAAAAATTTATGATATCTTTAAAAGATTTGATACAACAAACAATTGAATAATTGTATGTGATGGTATGTTTAGTGTTGTCAAAATTTAACTACTTTTGCTTTTAATTTTTATTCCACTACCACTTAAAATATAGCAAAGAACTAGAACTTTTGGTTAGCAAATCAGCATATTTGATTAGTACTTCTTTTCATAGATTGATTCTGATTACCAATACTTAATAACAGTTTCAACATGTATTTACAAGTAAAATCTGAGAGAATTAAGTAAATTATAAACTTAATTAGAAAGCTTTCAGTATTCTTTGCTAATAAATTATCTACCACTATGTAATTTTCACCTGAGTAAAATACGGAACTGTACATATATTATAATTGTTAATATCTTGTAAAAAAACAGTGCAGTTTAAAATAGTTCTTATATATTGTTTTTTTTCGGGTAACTTAAAACATTGTAGAAATGTTAATCTCGTTTGCTGATTAAAACAATTAATTAATGTTTTAAAAATCGTCTGATTCTAAATTAAATTTTTGAACAGAAGTCTTATGAAAGTCTTAAAAATGTTTACTCACCAAGGAATTCATGCTTGCTCAATATCAATTCTTCTGCTTCTCAAATATTTATGAATTTAGGGAACTTTAAGTTCTACTTATATATGTTTGATCAGTAAAAACAGCTAAAACCAAACCTTGGACAGACAAAAGATCGTCTGGTGTCAATGCTCTTATGTTTATTGGACATTAGGAAAGTTAAATCTTTTGCACTTGACAATGAAAAGAAATCGAGTTGTTTGCAAACAATACGTTTTAACCTTCTGGAAGTCGTCATGAAAGCATACGTCTTTTGTAGTGTTCCAATTAGTGGAATGCTTTAGAAGTAGTTTGATAAAATATTCCATTAATTACAAACGGTTTTATTTTACTTGTAATTATTATTGCTTCGTCATTTAAAACGGGTACTAAAGATATTATCGTCTGCTCAGTTATTGCTAATTTTTAGGAAACATATTTTTTTTAATGATTGATAGAATAAACGTTTTCAGAGTTTAAAAAAAAATCGTAAAATCAGTTAACAAAGCACGATTTAACAGTAAGATAATTAAAGCGATTTCAACGTCCTCCCGCAATATTACTTAAAAGAATTTGAAGTCAGCAGATAAAAAATTAAGGTAAATTTTTTTTCCAAATTAGAAAATATTACATAATTTTTACGCTTTTAAAAACTAATTCTTGTCTTCATATTTTTGTTTCTGAAAGATGATCACTTTGTCATATTTAAAGACAAAGAAATCAAATCTTAAAAATCGTGTTGTTTTTTTCCAACTTATTGAGTTATTAATAGTAATGGCTTACAGAAGAATCACGCTATGTTGAATCCTTATTACTGTATATATTTACCATATTAATAATTATTTAGAATACATTGTGTATAAATTACATATATGTTATAAATGCATAATTGCAGTGTATTCTATGATTTTTCTCCTTTTCTTAATGCAAGATTAACCGTTGTTATTTTGCAGCAATGCATATACACATTGCACATGACAAGCACGCACTGGAAATATTGCTGTCAATTCTTTGGAATTTAGGGACATTATTTGTTAAATAAAATTTTAAAATCATGTTTAAAATATTTCATTATTTTAATTGACTTTATTATGATTGGTAAGTTAAAAAAATCTATAAATAACATGAACAACTTGAATAACATGATATATTTAAGAATAATGTGGTATAAAATAGTTTGAGATTTAAAAAAAAAATATTCATTCCTCTTTACCTATCTAAGTTGGCCATTAACGAAGTGCAATTGATCAGCTCACATTGAGTTTCAGTTTATATATATTATAATTATTAACAGAGTTTGGTCTCTCGAAAACATCCTAGATATGAAATGGTTTTTAATGCTAGCTTTTTTTTCACATTCGTCTCTTTTTCAGCCCTGGCAGTAGTTTAACCCCTTCGGGACAGGCGATTCATAAAAGCAGTCATACATAATCAGGATGGAAAAAAAATTAATTAAATGTGTTCATTGCTAATTTGACAGACTTATCTTGTTTTTACTTTAATTAATATTAGTCCGAAGTGTAACGATGTAATATTTATTTTGAACTAAATGTAGTGGTGAATTAAATAATTGACAGTGACTATAATACTTCTTTTTCAAAACTGAAACTTATTTATTTACTTTTTAGATTTGAATAATTATGTTGTAACTATTAATAATTCGTGCTAAGCATTATATATTCTAAAAAAGCAAGAAATTAAATAGTTTTACTGTCAGTCTTTTCCCGTTTTAGGAAAATTACAGCCGTTTTTTACCCATTCCAAAGTATTGTTGAGAAAATGCAATATTTTACTATGTAAAAAGATGTAGGGCATTTATTACTAATTTGACGTTTTCTAGCGTTGGATCCTTCTTTATTTTCAAAGTATTAGTATTACAAAAATGTAATTTTAGATCAAAATATACATATTTGCGCATTAATTTACTATGCTGTACAGTCACTTTATGCTCTAGGACTCAATCTTAAAGTTTCGGGGGGGGGAGTGACCTCAAATATGCTTAATAATTTGTGCAGATGATATTTTTAATTATAAAAAGAAATCACAAAAATCTACTTTATCTAAATAAACATGCAGTAATCAAAAGTTTGGACGCCTTGATGTAAGCTTCTTTTCACTCTAGCGTTAACAAAATAGACCACAGAAAAAGTTTCCTTTCTCCCAGCAACCCTAATAGCTAAAAAAAGTCACCTAAATGAAATAGTTATATCTCGGTACCATAGTTACCTCTACGAGTCCAGACGAATGGCTCTAGGGGAATTCTTACTTTAGTCGAACTATACAACTCTGATAGCACAAACCATTTAAAACGATATAGGGCGCTGCAGATTGTTACAGCATCTACTGATTATTCTTCATCATAGTTTTCTTTTTATAAAGCTAGCTAACAAAACAAATTGCTGAGACTCCTTTTTTTAAATATCTCTAAATTTGCTCCGAATAAATATTAAATAGCTGAATTGAATGTTCTCCGCAAAATACAGAAGTCATTTTTTTTCCCTTCTGTTATTAGATTACACGCTTAACTGTAAGTGATTTATTCCATGTTTTCAGCACCATGGTACAAAATTCTACTTAAATTTGAACAACATGAATTTTTTATATATAAAAACCTTATATTTGCTAATTTTGGTACATAGCTGTTAGTTTTGTCTTTGTATCTCATTTTTTATAATACTAGCTAATGTATAATATCTAGAAAATGTTAGCTTTTTATGAGGATTGTGCTGCGGATTCACTTCCTAAACTCTGCTACTGGAGTTACGACTAAAGAAAATTTGACCGCAAAGTGTAGCAAGCTGACATGTTTGGTAAGTTACCTTTTCTTACTGATTAGTTTCTTTGTTGATGTTCTTTAACAAAAGTTAAAGCACTTCTGAAATTGCTAATTGTTGACCAAGAGAATTAGGGCAGTTAAGGTTTCACAATTTCGAGATAGACCCATCATATTAACAACGTAGCCCCCATTGCACACCAGCCGCTTTTACGTGTTAGACAAGCTGGGTATGCTTCAAGAATAATGACGATTCTTAACCACTGTGCAACACAAAAGTATTTTTTAGACATATTCAATATGCAAGGTAATAAAATTTTATTGGCCTAATCAGTTTAAATGCTTGCTGATTCTTTTTTTATAAATATTTTTTTAAGAAGAAGTGCTGCAATTGTATTTGCTACTGGGTTTTAATGTAAAATTTAACTTATATTAAATTTTTCATAAGTTATGCCTGTTTATCTATAACAGTGCATCAATAATACTGTATTGATGCTCACTAAGAGCGGTTTTGACTCAGGGGATAGAGCACTCGCCTCCCAATGAGGTGACTTGGGTTCGAATTCCGCTCCCAGCCTGCACTGACCGCAATGCTGACAACGGCCACAATAAGCCCCGTAACACCTCATTGGAAGGCGAATGCTCTATTCGCTGAGCCCCCAAGGCTCAACTCTTGGTATTTACAATAATAATACAGTACAAATTGAGCATTGCATTTTATTGAGAATAAAAAGGCATGAATGAATGGAGATTAATATTCCTCGCCTTCATCTTCCCCTCCATCATTAGAGTCCAAACCGACTTCTTCGTAATCTTTTTCAAGAGCTGCCATGTCTTCTCTAGCTTCGGAAAACTCTCCTTCTTCCATACCCTCACCAACGTACCAGTGGACGAAGGCTCGCTTGGCGTACATGAGATCGAACTTGTGATCGAGTCTTGCCCATGCTTCAGCAATGGCAGTTGTGTTGGACAGCATGCACACGGCTCGTGGAACTTTGGCCAAGTCACCACCAGGTACGACTGTCGGAGGCTGATAGTTGATACCAACCTGAAAATAACAAATTTACACTGTCTAGTTTTTTTTGTTTGTTTTTTTTTCAATTTTGAAGTATGTATTTTGATGCTTATTGCTGTGTCGTATCATTTTTATTTCTCTACTGATAAGATGGAAACCAAAATAATTTAAATAATAAATCAGGTCAGTTTTATTTACTTACTTGCTCCTGATGTGAATATTTTAATGTGATTTCCCACTTTGTTGAGAGAACGTTTGATGCTTACGATTTTTTGGACTACATATTTTCGCAGTGGTGTATTATGTTGCTCATTAAACCAGAATAAAATAATTCATTTCAAAGCATTTTCGACTGATCTTTATCTCCTTAATTGTTTTACTTATAAATAGTCAGTGTTTAGTTGACAGAATAGATCAGTTAAGGATATAGTAAACTACTAATATCATCGATGTCTATTTTACAAGTCATCGATATTCTATTGAAATTACTTGCAAATTATTGATAGCACGCAAAACAATGATATTCATATTGTCTATTAAAATAAATGTTTATTTTGTTAACATTATTTCTCCAAAAAATTATTCCAATTTTATGAGATTTTGTTTAACTGAACCAGGCATTAAAGGAACATGAATGTGTTTTGTTTCTTAAAAGTCAACATTTACTGTCTGATCGAAAAGAGAAATGAGGATTTGAGATTCACAATGAGGATTTTTATTGTTATCCTAGGCCACTAGCTCAAAGGAAGTTCGCTTCCTCTTGTTTTCCACTGGCGCCATCTACGACCAAGAATTAGATTTCTGCTACACACATATGTCATAACCCGCTTATAGGGCTGACCCATTCATACATCCATTTATTCATCCACAGATCGTAGTTTGATCTGAATCAGAGAACGATCAATCACTAATTCAGTACCCCCCAGAGGCATGATTTGTTATGGAAACATAGAGGACCTTGTGACCTGAAATATTTAACGTGCACCAGTCACCATTTACTACGCGTGAAGTCTTTGGCCTGCTGGGATCGAACTCTCGACCTCTTGGACATGAGTCCAACTATCAACCAGTCTGTCCCGGCCATAATGAGGATTCAAACGAAGAAACCGATATTTCACGAAAGGAATTGCATGTTCCCAGTTGTGTGGAAATGAATTAATTAATCTGATGGAGTATCTATTAAAGTGTATCACAAAATAAATATGAATTACCTTGAAACCAGTTGGACACCAATCTACGAATTGAATGGATCGTTTTGTTTTGATGGCAGCAATGGCGGCATTTACGTCTTTAGGAACGACGTCACCTCTGTAAAGCATGCAACAAGCCATGTACTTTCCGTGTCTGGGATCGCATTTCACCATCTGATTGGCTGGTTCAAAACATGCGTTTGTTATCTCGGCAACGCTCAGTTGTTCGTGGTAAGCTTTTTCAGAAGATATCACAGGTGCGTACGTTACAAGTGGAAAATGAATTCTATAAAAGAACATATTTTTCAATTAATATCTTAAACTGAAAAAGAACATATTTTTAAATTGATGTCCGACATCAAAAGAAACATATTTCTATTATAACGCAACTAAATATTTCAAATAAATATCTTTTATTTAAATAACTATCTCATAGCCAGCACTAAATAACACATTTCTAAATTTGTGTCTAACATTAAAAAAGATATATTTATGAATTACTATTTAGGGGGACATTGAACGTTCTAAACAAAAAAGTGCAATTTTTATTTGATCATTTTCAAATCAACAGAATAGTGGTAGCATTAATAAAAGTCTGTGCGCAATGATTTAGAGAAAATGATAATTAGTTTTTTAAAGTTATAGCTAAAAGCATGGTTTTTAATTGTTGATAATTAAAAAGTTTCTTGCGAACGAATTTTAATTTTTTCTCATTAAATTTTTACCTAAATACGTTGCTTATAGGTAGTTAAATAAATTTAAGTAGTTATGATACCCATATAAAAATTAAACGTACTTATAGGCATTAAATTTTTAATCTGTCACTAAAAATTACTTGCCTCAATTATGTTTGTTAATTGCTGAAAAATTAAATTAAGTCATTGAGTTTAAAATTAAACAAAATACATTGAAGAGCATTTGATTTTTTTCATAACAATAAAATAAAAGCTGGTGCGCAAGAAAGTTTTTGAAGTTGTGAGAACATTAAAAAATTCCATTACTAGAAGAAAAAGCAACTTTGTCAGCAAGAACTACATATTGATGTATGGACCTTTCATAAATTCATAATCTTATAACAAGTAAAGGAAAACTCCGATTTAAACGCGGTTTCTTGCATATTACTAAGTGAAATGTGGATCTTTTAATATCTCATAAACCAACTAATGGATTTTTGAAGGATTTGTCTAGCTCTAAAAGTCCACTGTCCCCCCCCCCCTTTTTTTATGTGTAATGCTGATTTAACCTCTAAGGGAACCGTGTTCCGAATTAATCTCACACCAAAAGTACACTCTCGAAAAATTCTATGACCGAACCATAATACCGCTACTCTAAACCGTACTATCGAGAAATTTGATCCAACCTTAATAAGGAGATAAACTGGAGATCAAGTTAATAAAAACTGATTACAAGTAATTTGCACGATAATATGCATTTAGATTGCGAAAAATTTGAATGTTTCTAAGCAATCCGAACTTTTTAACAGCATCAAAATGAATTGTTACAATCGTGTTAATAGGGAGTGATTAGTCTTACCTTGGATAGGGCACTAAATTTGTCTGGAACTCGGTGAGATCGACATTCAGTGCACCGTCAAATCGGAGGGATGCTGTAATGGATGATACTATCTGACTGATGAGACGATTGAGATTGGTGTACGTTGGTCTTTCGATGTCCAAGTTTCGTCGGCAAATGTCATAAATGGCCTCGTTGTCAACCATAAAGGCACAATCGGAATGCTCCAGTGTGGTATGAGTGGTTAGAATAGAATTGTAAGGCTCTACAACAGCAGTAGACACCTAAAATAAAAATATGGCACTCTGTTTATCGTTATTTAATGAAATCCAAAATATCGTTACGGAGAAATCTTCAGAAGAAGGCACTGGCCCACATTGGGCTGTCTGGCCAACTATGAAGATGAACATAAACACTCATGAACATCAAACTGTGGTGGAATCAAGGGTGATTTTACGGGAACATTATAATGTTCCCGATATAATGTACATTTTTTAGATTCCTATAAAAAGTTTGTTCTAAGGAAAAACACCCTGATAGTTATAGACATAAATATCTATATAGGAAAGAAAACAAATAAGTTAACTATTATTAATAAAATTATAGAGATGTCAGAGTCTGCGAGTGAACTGGAATGACTGGTTTACTTACATTAAATTAATTACCGTAATATTGCGTTTGTTAATGGCAGCTAAGCGTTTACATTATTTCCCTTTAATACGAAACGGTGTTAGTGAAAAATCGAAATTCTATCCTGATTTTGTTTTGTAAGTTACTAAAAAAATTTTTCAAAGTTATTTTATTGTTTTCTAAATTATTGTTGTTTTTTTTTTAAATTTTTTATGACCATATCTGAGTAACGAAGTATGTTGAGAGATACGTAAGGAAGAATTAACTACCCCGCAAGTTCGCAGCAAAATTAATGCTGATATTTTTATTCAATTCTAAACTGACAATCAAAATACACGCTTTTCTCGGAAATACGGAATGTAATATTTCAACTAAGCGAACCGACTAAACTAAATAAAAAAAGTAGTAAGGTAATGACTACTCTATTTCCTAGTAATTAATCTACTAGTAACAGATTGATCATTGATGCCTTTTTAATTGGTAGGCATGTGAAGTGATGCCAGCTTAAACAGCTGTGTGCCTAAATGAAACTTAAATTGTTATTTGGGTAAAGAAAATCTTCATTACAACTATTTTGTCGCATGATATAGTCGCAATAGTTGCAGCTATTGACGCAACAGATATTATCATATTTTCTTAAATAATTAAGAAAAATTGAGTTAAAGTGAGGAATACTGCCCTTTGATTTAGCAAAAATCTCCAACCAATGTAACCTTTATTTTTTAGATATGTTTATTATAAGAATATTCGTTTTTGGATTACATTTTTGAAAAGCAATCTGGAAACATAAAGGGTGGTGTTTACATAACACCCAATATCATTAGTAAAATGTCTAATGCGTAAGCCTTGTTGTTAAACAAATAAATAAAATTAATAGCCCGTTCAGCTGAGTAAAAGGAGAACTTTGACTTAACTTTTTTTTCACCGTCTATAGATAATCGATAGAAAATAGTCGATAGAAATGTAAAATTAGAACTTGTGCCGACACATGATGAGTAGTCTTCTTCAGACAGAAAAGGAATTCTACTTGTTCCGTATTAAAATACCAGAAATTACGTAGAACAATTTCCATTTTTTTTCTTCAAATAACTATTTTATATTTTGTAATATTTATTGTTTTATTTTATTCATTAGAAAGTGTTCGGTTACTTTTAATTCCTAAGAGAGTTCAATATTTTAATTCCAATTCAGAAAATTTTAAAAATATTTTCTACCTTTACCTTTTTGGCCGTGAATTATGAATATGACAGATAAAAAAAAATCAATGACTGGATTCCATGTAAGTATTTTAAATATGAAATTGTATAACATTCTACCAATATTCCCTATTTTTAAAATTTTTTAACAGCGAATTCTGCGAATGCGTCAGTTAAAATTATAAAAATGAGGAATATAGAGTAATGTGAGGTAGGTAGGTCTTTTATTTACGTCGCAATAGAACTGCACAATGGGCTATTGGCGACGGTCTGGGAAACATCCCTGAGGACGAACCGGAGACATGCCATCACAATTTTCATCCTCTGCAGAGGGGATGGTTCCTCCGCTTCGGCAGCCCAACAACCTACGCTCGAAGTTGAGGACTTTACTGTAGAACAGTTTAACGAGGATTGATACGCCGCCCCCTCGGTCCCTGCACAGGCTGATCAAAGTGGTCATCCACCCGTCTACTGACCAGTGATGCTTAACTTCTTTGTTCTACCGGGAACCGTGTCTTTACGATCAGTCCACTGCGGTACTAGAGTAATGTAAAGATGTCTTCTAATACTAGGGTGCTAGGACCGAAATGGTTAAAATGTAAAATTTGTTAACTACGCTTAAAAAAGCATTTCAAAGTGAATAAAATGAATCAAAATATATTCCACATATTAATTAGTTAATTAACCCCTCGCACTATTTTTACGAGTTTGACTCGTGATGAAAATTTTATGCCAAACTTGAATATCACAAGTTAGGCTCGTTGTTTAATTTCATGTCAAATGCGAATATCACGAGTGTGGCTCTTAATCGACATTTCGGGCCAAACATGAATATCGCAAGCCCTACTCTTGGTCTTAATCTCGGGTTAAAACAGAACATCTGAATGGGCTCTTATCTCTTCTTTATATGAATAGGTATTTTAAATCTCGTCTCCTAATGTCTTATCCTCTATCTGTCTTGTTGTCTTTTCGCGAACATTCGGGTGCATATGTTAGGAATAGCTTGTTGCGAATTTCAGCGTAGTCCAACGGATTTATAAGTAAGTAAATTGTGCGTACCCATCATTCTATATAAGTTAACACAAGTATAAGCGTCTGAAGAGGACCATTAACGATGGTGTTTCAGTAATAATATGCCGAAGACAGATAATATTACAGCCTGTAACAATACATTCAATAAAATTATTACCTGTGGAGCTGGATAAATGGAGAACTCGAGCTTAGATTTTTTTCCGTAGTCAACAGATAGCCTTTCCATCAAAAGAGATGTGAAACCAGAACCAGTACCGCCGCCAAAGCTGTGGAAAATTAGAAATCCTTGAAGACCGGTACATTGGTCGGCTAGTTTACGAATCCGGTCCAATACTAAATCGACGATTTCTTTTCCGATTGTATAGTGGCCTCTTGCGTAATTGTTAGCTGCATCTTCTTTTCCGGAAATGAGTTGTTCTGGATGATATAGTTGACGATAACCTCCTGTTCGAACTTCGTCTGAAATGAGAAAAAAATTCTCAATTATTGTTAGCAATAAAAGGAGTACTTAAACAGTTTAACGTCCAACCACAAAAAGTGGTCTATGCATGAAAAACAACTAAACGAAACACCAACGGAACGTACTTTAACTGCAACTTGGCGAACATTATCCATGTAGATAAGTATCATTGTAGATAAATAGTTCTGTAGATGAATAACATATTTCTCATCCGATCTGATATACTCATCTTTTATCAACTAATTATCATCCTCACTTATACAGCTGTCTAAGCTGATGTCACGTCACTTACCTGTCCACTGGAAATCCATCAATAACCAATCAGTCACAGAGGAACCAATAAGAATACGTTTCTATTGCGATGGGAATACGAATCTTCCAATAGGAATAATGCAAATAACTAGTTGCCATTCTCAACCTCAAAGTTATGACAATTGATTTATTTCATTCAGTAATATAGTTCAGCCTCTGGTTTAGATATGATTCACTGTAATGTGAGATAAACTAATACCCCCTTAATATTGCACATTCATTGACCCTTTGAGCTCGATCTATTGCATATTCATTGACCTATTATTAATTAACATTTTCTTGAGGGAACTAAGTAATAACAATACTTTTTCTTGAGATCTTTATCATTATGACATGAATGCTATTTTACAACACATTACTTTACACAAAAAAGTGAATTAGTCCGCTCATGTATTACATCTAAGTTAATCTTGAATATTCTCTATTCTATATTAAAACAGATTTCAAAATTTAAATTTATTTTTCGGCATCTGCGTTACACAATTTCGCGATGAGTTATTTCCCCCTACTCAAACTTAAATAATATTTAAGTATTATTGTTTTTACTTTCCTTTATATCAACTGTTCATTGCAAAAACAAACAGAATGAGTACTTTTAAATGTAAAAGTAAGTGTATTTCAGCCCACATTGACCCGCCTTAAGGTGAACTAGACATAACCTTGAAGAAAAAATGTATAATTTCTTTGCGGAATGGGAAAGACAAAAATCAATTATGTCAGTTGTCAACGCAATTTGAGTCACTGACGGAATAAAGTTTAAATACTTCTAGAACAGCCGTTTACGAAAGTAATTTCTCTTCCTTCGATTGAAAAAAAAAGCCTTAATTTTCATGAATATTTCCTTCATATTAGAATGAGTACTTACCAACCACAGTTGGCTCGAGATCTACAAAAACGGCTCTTGGAACGTGCTTTCCAGCTCCGGTCTCACTGAAGAAAGTATTGAATGAGTCATCTCCAGTACCTACGGCTTTGTCGCTAGGCATGTTGCCATCAGCTTGGATTCCATGTTCCAAACAGTACAATTCCCAGCATGCATTGCCAATTTGAACTCCAGCCTGACCAATGTGAACACTGATGCACTCTCGCTAAGAATAGAAAAATAAATGCTGTTCAAGAATACTTCATTTATAACATGTTATTTCAGTTTCTGTTTTCAAATATACGTTATTAAATAATTAATCTGCGAGTTTAGGTTTTAAATTCTGGATAAACGGTAGCATTCAGGGTCCCCCCACAGGATTTTGAAAAATTAACAGTAATAAAGAAAGAGATATATCTAGAGCATTTCTGTGTTCATCACTATATGTTTTTTTAATGAATATAAAATTCAGTTCTGCTTTCGAAAACTCGTAGGAACCCTCTGCATATACAGTTACGAAATTGAATATGATTGCATAGTTATCAATTTGCGTGGTCGTTTGAAAAGATTTCGCAAACTGGTCCTAAAAAAATAATTAAAGCAGGAAGAATTTGCAAAAAATTAGGTTTCCTCGCCAATATTTAAAAGCATAACAGTCCAATTATGGAACTTATAGAGGGATGCCCACTGCACTACTTTCTGATAAAAAAAAAATTATAAAGTATTTTGTATTAAGCACTAAAATTTTCACTAAAATTTTGTATTAAGCACTAAAATTTTGTATTAAGCACTAAAATTATAATTAAGCACTAAAATTTTCAGAATTTTGAAAACTTATTAAAATTCTCATTAAGAGACAAGCTGATAGAAGTGGCCTTTCATATTCATGTTAAATTTATTTTTATGGACAAATTCAGTTTTCTTTTAATTTAATGGACGAAGAAATTTTTTTGATAATAATATTATAATTGAAATACTTTTGGACTAGGGTGCCACAATTTGTAATAGTTTAGGAACTTTAGACTTCAAATTTAAGCATAAAATTTAATATTAATTTAATGCTCTATTGAAACGCTGAGGTACCCATTTTGTGGAACATGAATCTTCATCAAATTTTGATTTCAGGAGGTGACTAAAGAATGATAGAGAAAGTTTTAAAAACTTTTGAGCTTTAACAAATGAGAAATTTTTTATAATTAGCCGCCACGTTTAGTTTTAAAAAAAATATCAAATAACCCTAGCAACAATTTTTCTTGGCCTCAGTTGAGCTGAAAATTGGCTCCATATTAGTCCTAGAAGAACATGTATGGAAGGACCAATATTAGGATGTCTAGATTTTTTTTAAATATTGGTCAATATAAACCGATATTGGCAAAATAATGGGTATAAAATATCGGGTGAATCTGATAATTCTATATAGGACCGATATTGGTTGTAAAATTTTGAGGGAATCGGCAAATTCTATATAGGGCCAATTATCGGAAAAATAATGGCCCTTCAAATTTTAGAATAAGCCAATATTCATGAATATTGGCTTAATGAGAGCCCAAGTTATTTTGCTGCTAGAAAAGTGCTAAGAATAAAGTAAGACAGTTCTTTATTTTTTCTAGTATTTTTTTCTTCTTTTTTTTAAAAAAAAAGAACGTGTTGTTAAAAAACTGGGGAGCATTGGTACTCAATGATAAACGCAAGGTTCGTAGGTCCTTATAATACTTAAAGTGTACTACCGAAATCACAAAGAGAAGTATTTTAATAAGATTATATTTATCATAACATTTAAGATATATTCACCACAACATTGAATAAATATGTCAAGATACGAAATTATAGGTTTTGAAATTTTAAAGTGAAAGCTAATAAAAACAAATTAATAACTTCTTTTTTACAGTGTTGATATCATTTTTTTTAAATTTTATTTAAGGAAACAGGAATTACGATAACATTAATTTCATAGGCATTTTATTTTAACTGTATATAATTAAAGCAAAAATATTTTTTTTTGAAAGTCAACTTCTAATCATATAAATAAGTGGGGTACGCTTGCGTCCATATCATTCTTTGTTAATATAGGGTAAAAAAAGAAAACATATTGTTTCAAGAGAAACAATTTGTATCTAATTTAATGTTTTTGCAAGTTTTTGTTCTGTTATTTAAAGTTTCATATGCAATGCCTTATATATACCGTGAGGTATATTTCAAGGATTTACTCTAACACTGTCCCACCCAACAATTTTTTTTCCTCACAATTTTACAATGTATCCTACGCAATTCACCTACACATTTTATTACCTTTCTACAAACACCCCCCACTTGTTTCGCGATCCGGTTTTTGGAGCGTCCATTTATTTAACCTGTGTTTCTGAGTCAACTTTTTCTTCCATCTCCATAAATGGTAACACTCACGTGAACCTAGACTTCATTTATCCTTCCAGCCGATTAAACCTTGGGTCACGTCACTTTTTTAGGCCACACGCTGTGACACCTGATTTCACGGCAGGTAACAAGGATCAACCATCAATCGCCATACTTATGAGGCAAAAAGTGTTTTTTGGGTATGATGACACTGATCTCTTTTTTTTTTGTCACGTTTTTTGGGAATTTTATTGCTTGACAAAGTACGGAAATAATTGCTATAACTTTTCATTTGAGGGATTCACTCCATAAAATTGAATGGGGTTAGCTAGGGGTATATTCTTCACACTCCCCTTGCCTCTCTCTGTCTTTATAGTTAAAAGAGAATAAAAAAACTGTGTCGTCAGTCACTATGTATATATATATATNTATATATATATATATATATATAATAACACAGAGAAACAAGGAAAAAAAATTAAATAAATGAATAAAATTAAAAAAAAAGATAGAAAGGATTTGAAATGAAAGAAAAAGAAGAAGGAGAAAAAATTTATTTTCATACACCTTGGGGAAAATAATTTTTAATATTCTTACAATTTGTCTAGAAGTTTTCAACGGATAGTGTATTTGCCTCGCCAAAAATTTTTTTTAACGGCGAATTAACAATTAACTTCTATTAGCAGTTAACTTTCCATAATTAATGTTTTTTCCTCTATTAACTTCAAAGAATTAACTTCTATTTGCAAATTAAAAATATTTATTTTTCGTTTTCTTTCATCGTTAATATTTTTTTCTATTCATAAACTCCAGTTGGTTTATAAAAAATGAAAAATAAAAATTCATTTCTATAAAGAAATGCTTTAAAATAAATATAATAACTTTTCAAGCTTTAATATTTTACTCGAACATTATACAAGTAGTAAAACAATTTTCAATATTTTATGATTAAAGAAAACTACTTATAGTTAATATATGTAGTTTATTGATATAATAATGATTCAATATAAAATTATTATGCAATATATTACAAAGAATTTTCTGATACGAAGTTTCTTTATGGTAATTAAAATTTACTACATGTAGAGGAATATAATGGATCAGAAAATTCATTCTTTTTATAAATTTTTAAGTCAAGAGTGTTTATGAACTTGAAACATTCTGTCTTCAACACAGTTACCTATTATTACTTATTATACCTCAGAGGCGACATTGATCAAAATGTTAGAAAAAAATTTTCTTTCTTGGTTTATTTCTCGAAAAATCAAATTTAAATAATTTCTGGTGACTGCTACGCAGATGTTTCCAAAACTTGATTTGTAATTACAATCAAATTAAATAAAGGTGTGGTTCAGTTAATATTACTACCTGTAGTGAAACACAACTTAAAATAATAGTATTTGTCAACGCTTTGATAAAAAGCAGAGGTCAACACCCAGAAGTTGTAGGATGAATAATAGTATACAAAAAGAATTTCAGCTCAGAAGAAAGTTAATTATGCGAACATTGCAATAAGAATTAAGGTCGTTTGTCCATTTAACTAACAAGTGAACAGAGCATTGAAAGGAATCTTATTGAAAAGAAAAGAACTAAAGTTTATTATGTTCTTCAAGGTAATAATAAATAAATTAGTAAAAATTCTTTTTTATATGCAAATAAATACATTTGAAAGAGAAAGGTATAAAAAATAAGTGAAAAGAATATATATATTATAAGTAATACTAAGTAATGTTATTTTTTTCTGTTTAATTTTTAAATTCACAAAAAGTTTGCTACTAAAGGAAAAAATTATAAATAAATAAAGGGAAATCAACAATAAGTTTTAAGTGCATTTATTACATTGTATAGAAATATATGGAAATGTCTTTATTTGCAAATAATTTTTTTGTTTTTACTACACATAACAGACACATTTATACGTTTTACTTTTTTTTAAAAATTAAAATTTCGTGGTAAAATAGAGAAATTTTAAGAACACAATATATTTTAAGAGCATATTTTGCAAATAAATTTCAGATGTAAAATTAAAAACGGCTAGTTCCATTGATTTTATAACAGTCAAAGTTATTATTAACTCCAATAAAAATGAACTAGTGGAAAGGTTATATTCTTAACTGGTAATTGTTAAGATTTTCTACACTTTTATGTTAATGGAAAAAAAAGGAAAGTGATTGTAAAGTTGATTAATAAATTTCAGTCGAAGTTAAAAGGTTAAATAATTTAGCAAAAAACCTGCTTCTATGTCTTTTCTTTCTTTTTAAAAAAAAGAAAAGAAGAAAAAAAAATTTATTAAAATTTGGTTAATATGGACATCAGTTTAATAGACTTACAAGATTACAAGATATCTTCTACAAACAAGTGTTTTATGTTACTTTTTGAATTAAATTATCAAATTTACAAAACTAAGAAACTTGCACTAAAACATAAATTTTGCTACCACTTAGGAAAAAAAATTTCCCCACAAACAAAAGAAAGCAATGGCATCTCTGTGCAAATAATATTTGAAAATTCTCCTTAAGTATCTTCATAAAANTATATATATACAGTCTATTTTTAATTCTTCAAAATTCAACAATAAAATCAAAATATTTAAGTTATTTTTGGCAAATTTTTAATAAAATTACGACCACAATTTAAAATTTAATTACTGGGGACAAAGTTTAAGATTTATTAAAGTTCCATAAAACGCAACACTATAATTTTAAAAATAGGGCCCCTTGCAAGACGCAAGTTGCTTTGTCTATGATTTTATGCAAAATTTAAACAAGAAATAATAATAACAAGATACTTTTATTCGTAGTCAGTTTCAATCAATGTAAAGACTCACAAAAGAATATAACTTGGGTAATGAAAGTTTTTTGAATAATAAATTCGCAATAACTTTCTTATTTGCTACTGAAAAATCGGTAAAAAAAGGTTTTAACTTTTTTAATACAACATGAAAATTCTATTTTTTCGTTAGCATGAACGTTAAACACAAAATCCCTTTTGCTAAAAAGAATATATTTTAAAAAAATCATTGTTACACATAGCATAGAAAAGTACATCAGTGCCTTTAATTAAAAAATTAAAAATTTACTATTGTTTTGAATACTGAGTTGTTTTAACACATACTACCAATAAAAACTAAAATAATCCTCGAAAAAATATTTATTTCCGAATGTTTACGGTTTATAAACAAAATTAAAACTTACTATATTGGAAATCTAGAATTTTATTTTAACCAAAAATCTATATAAAGAGCGAAAGAAATTTTGGGAACTAAGGAGAAGTAGAAACTCCACGCACGTGTATTTAAAACTATAAATTAAAGACAAAATAAAAATAATAAAAAGTGAAGAGGAAAACGTGACATTTAGCAATATTTTGAGTAATTTTTTTTAAAAAAAACATGTTTTTTTAAAGAACTGCAGAATTAAAAATATTATTTCTCAGGATAATATTAACTCTTGCACTCTAAATGAAAATAAGATAACTGCTATTTATCTGACCTTTTTATTTAAATAGAATTAATAAAAAAATAAATTTATTGTCCACTTTTCAAAGTTAAAATATTATGAACACTCTATAAACTCACCATATTGTAAGACTAGAAGTACTTTTCAATAAAGAAAATGTAGAAAGAAGTGGTGTTCGCAAGCTCTAGGAGAAGTAAAGGCTCCAAGCACGAACTATTAACTGATTTTTAGGGCAGATCGGGGAGTCACTTATAGAATAGGCTAACTCCCCACGCTTACATCCTACGCGCCTACTTTTCACTGGTCGAAAAAGGACAGATCAATGAGACGATCCTTCACAACACCCTCGACTTCTTTCTTTTTTTGTTACTAATCATCCTTTTTTAACTGATTATGGTTAAAAGGTTTAAAATATATCGTCTTTCTCAGCTTCAAAAAATAGTTCGAATAGCTTATTCATCTTCTATGCACCTGCATTCTTTTTTCATCACAAACAATTGTTCAAAAATTTTTTCCAGGAAAATTTGATTTGAAGTTTTGAAAACACCACTTAAAATTTCGATGTAACTGGTGAAATTACAGTGGGTGTCGATTTGTAGAATCACTGGAATCATCACGTTTCCAATTATTCACATGATAACATCTTATTTTATATTATAAGCTCACCCAGTTCTAAATTGACGGCTAACAATGGTTAACTTCGTAACATTGTCATTTTGAACCCAACCCAGAAGTCACAAGAACTACTGGATCAAGCATTTTTTCTTATTTTATATTATATCCGTCGTTGAACAGCCGACCCCATTTTTCGGTTTGCGACTACTAATGTTCAACTCCGTAGCCTTGTCGTTTTGAACCCAATCTAGTAGACAAGCAAACTCCTGATCAGTACCCCCAGAGATATTGACTTGTTATGAGAACATGGTGGACTTTGTGACTCGACAGATTTATCGGCCGGCTGGGATCGGACCCACGAACTCTTGGACATGGGCCCAGTGCCCTACCCACCAGGCTATCCCGGTTGGATCAAGCATTAGCTGGAGCTAAAGCTGGTAAAGCTGGATCAAGCATTGGTACAAACTAGCCTTCGGGGAGGACTTTTTGAAGGAACTAACCAGCTTTAGCGTTACTAGAGAAAAACCAAAGGGTCGGTGCGAGCCGGGAGTGGAATTTATTTCAACGCGTCATCACTTATATTCGAACCTGGGTCACCTCATTAGGAGGTGAACACTTTATCCCTCGAGCCACCACGGCTCTTACGTGATAACTTTTTATACAGTCTACCTACGTTGAACAGTCTACCTAATTATGAGTTTGCGACAACCAATGTTTATCTTCTTAGTCTTGTAATTATGAGCCTAATTTAGAAGACTAGGGATCTCCTCGATTAAGTATTGGAAGAAATTTGCCTTTGTATAGGACTTTTTGATGGAACTAACCCGCACTTGCGTTACATGGAAAGGAAAACCACTAAAACCTCTCACGGTTAGTCTGACTGTAAGGGGACTCTAACCCATTATCCGTCTATCACTCAGGGTGCTTTTACGTCATCACTGTGGTCGGCGTGAGCCGGGTGCGGACTTCATATCGACCAGCCATTTCTGGGATTCTAACCTGGATCACGTCATTGGGAGGAGAACGATTTATTCCCTGAACCCACGACTGTTCTTATATGATAGCATTAAAATTTCTTCTGTTATCAGACTCACTATCACCGGTAACTAAGCAACTCATCGAAATTTTGTAACAGTGAGAAAGAGCCTTAAGTTGGTGGGTCAGAAATACCCAGTTCAATATTTTTATAACTGCTTAAATAAAATATCAGGTGACGATTCTTTTTATCATAATAATTGAATGACTAATAGGTATTTTCTTTACTCTTACAGGCAGATGATTTTTGTTAGATTGAGGAAGAATCAAATGCTGCTTCCTGATCACCTTTTAATGAAGATCAGCGAAGTACATAATTTGTTTAGTTCACTGGTAAACAGCAATGATTTTTTATCACTTTTGCCTACATTAAGGAATCAAGAAAGTGGACTTAGTGCTTACTGACATTGAATTTGAATTAAAATAGTTGTACTAATTTGAGTTAAAATTTCTAGTCAACAGTTAAACGTTATAAATTTACATCAATTTACTTCGATGAATTCTTTTACTATAGCTTCGGAAATTTTTTTTTTTTTCCTTTTCTCCCGCATGTGAATTTTTTGGACGGATCTAAGATATTTTCGAGACGTTGATTTCAAACCAGCAATCTGCTGCAGTTTTTATGCAATTCAATAATAATACTCCTAACAAGAGGTTTTTTTAATTTATTCAAGTGCTCCCACTTCTCTGCTACGTATGGAGGGTAGGCAGAAGGCGATAATGCATTTCAGTTTATGATGCGATACGTTATGGTCTTAGGTATATGCATAGATATAAAGGCAGAAAGATCAATCACTCGACCAAACGGACGTCACGGTGAACGTTGACAACACTGGTCTAGTAACCAGTTTGTACTCTATATCCACGCCCTCTAGTGAACTGCGGTTTTTGTTTATTGCAGCTGTACATAATTTGTTCTTTTTTTATTTGATTTATATAAGTTGTAATGATTAATAATAATTGATAACATTTAGTTTCTTTGCCAGAAAAATCTGAAATTCGCAAATTTTATGAAATTTTTTTTTCAGATTTTTTTAAAGATTTATAATTTTTAAATTTTAAAATTAAAAAAAAAAAAAAAAACTAGTATGTTCTTAAAATTAATTCTCTATATCATTCTGAAATTCAAATATTTGAAATGAAATAAAACNCAAAATCTTGGCTGATTTCAATGTGCTGTTGGATGTTGTCCGCCATTGCTTCTGTGGTTAACGTCACGTTGTAATCCAACTGCAGTTAAGTTGGACGGCAATTGTAGTTCAAGATGAGCGTACGATGACGTATACTATCAAACTGACAAATGGACCAATCAGAGGTTAGCGCTGATTTCCAGCTGACGGCGTCCTGTCCTAAGAAACCAGGCCTTTAGACTGCTGATTCTTCTACAATTAACGTCGCAGGTTGCGAAGTTTAGCTTCTTCCGCGCGGAGGGACTCCACGCACTATTTTTTTTTATCACTTTTGCCCCTACATTAAAGAATCAAGGAAGAAAGTGGACTTAGTGCTTACTAACATTGAATTTGAATTAAAATAGTTATACTAATTTTTGTTAAAATCTCTAGTCAACAGTTAAACGTTATAAATTTGCATCAATTTACTTCGATGAATTCTTTTACTATAGCTTCGGAAATTTTTTTTTTTTTTCCTTTTCTCCCGCATGTGAAGTTTTTGGACGGATCTAAGATATTTTCGAGACGTTGATTTCAAACCAGCAATCTGCTGCAGTTTTTATGCAATTCAATAATAATACTCCTAACAAGAGTTTTTTTTAATTTATTCAAGTGCTCCCACTTCTCTGCTTTCTCTGCTACGTATGGAGGGTAGGCAGAAGGCGATAATGCATTTCAGTTTATGATGCGATACGTTATGGTCATAGGTATATGTATGCATGTAAACCTATAGGTTCTCTTATAAACTTGAATATTTAGACAAAAAAGAATTAACTAAACTTAAAAAAAAAAGAAACATTTTGAAAAAAAAATTTTAGCTTTTCGAGCAAACTAATTTCTGATTTGAAATCCCCACAACTGAATTAGATAAGATAAAATACTTGTGTAAATGCAACTCGAAATGCCCTAAAAAACTGAGAAAATACTGCCTAATTTTTAATGATAAGTGATATTAGGTTTGAAGAATCAGCAGTTTATTCGAATCAAAGCCTTCAGATACCGTTGGAAACATATTAAACTGTAGTAAATTTCTGACATCCCTACAACGTCGCATTTTTCATATTCCAATGGTTTAACGAGTGGTAATAAAGTTTAGTTAAAAAATATAATTCTGTTTATTACATTCAAAAACATAGAAGTGTCTTGTTACTAGTATATTAGGGTAGTCAGTCATGTTTTGTTTTTCCAAGAAAGAAATTTAAGAATGAAATAATTGAGCTATTAGTTTTGGGGAAAAAATAACTGTCAAGTTTGTTTGCCAAGCGGCTGTAATGGGTAAACAAAGCTTGTAGCAGTCATAGAAAATAAAAAAAATCCATAACAAACTTATCATAAATCTTTAAATGACCGACCACAAACATTGTAATGATGTAAAAACAGCCTCTACAAAGAAATTACTATAGTTTAAACCAAGAGGATATTTTTTTTTGTGTAACCTACCCTCTCAGTTTCAAAAATGAACCTTGCTTTGACTTCAGATCCAATTATAAATATAGAGTTATAATAAACCGGGATTATACATTTTTATAATAATTTATAAATAATTATAAAGATATTTATATGAACCGGGTTCGAATCCCAGAGATGGCGGATCGATACGAATTCCACACACACCTCGCACCGACCACAGCGCTGCTGATGTAAAATATCCTCAGTGGTAGACGGATCATGGGTTGGAGTTCCCTTGCCGTCAGGCTAACTGTAGGAGGTTTCCATGGTTTTATTTTCCATGAAACGCAAATGCGGGCTAATTCCATCAGATTTCTCACAATACTTGATCCATGAATTCCCTAGTCTTCTGTATTGGATTCAAATTTAAAAGTCTACGGATTTGAGTTTTAGTAGTCGTAAACCCAAACAAGTGGGTCGGCTTCTCAACGAATGTTTATATAAAATAATAGTAGCATAAAATTAACATGAAATTAAAAGAGTTTAGAAAACTAAAAGAGTTTAGAAAAATAAAATTTCAAGTTCAAAGGTGCACGAGCAACATGTCCATAATAGGTAAGCGCCCTTAGCAGCGTAAGATGACATTTCCTGTCATGGCTTCCTATTTAATTCTTAATCCTTATAATGTGAGATACTTCCCCTAGAAGTTTGTAGCAACATTTACAGGACACCCTGTATATTGACAATGTTTCCGAAATTTGAAAAATTTCTGTTTGCAATTTTTATTTCAGTTGCTATTTACTACCGATAGAGAAAATCCTCCTGGTCGATCTTAACAGTTGATAACTATGCATTTTTCACGCTTTTTATTTCATCCCCTGAAAATAGTATAACTATATGAAACTTAAAAAGAAAAAAAAAGACTTAGTGCTAACGAGGTTAAATATAATTTTGTATACACAAATCGATATAGAAATGAGACTTAACTAATGAATCATACGTCCGCCCTTTTCAGAAATGCCCCGAATCCTTCATCCATATGCGGCCAACGTTTT